CGTCGTGGAGGCGGCGGCTATGGAGGAGAGATGGCGGCAGCAGCGGTGGTGCCCTTTTTGGGAGAGAAGGATGATGATGATGATGATGATGCAGGTTTTCATGTGTGTCGGGAGGCGATGTCTGGGCGAATGGACGATGTGACAGATGCGGGCCGCGCGGGATCGCCGGGTACTCACTTCACCGACATGACCCAGTCCTTGTGGTGTTGAAACCGCCAGCGGGGCCGCTCCGTGAGGCGCTCCACGCTGCTGCCGCCGCTGCCGCCAGGTGCCGCCGCCACGGCGTCGCCGTCGGTACCGCCGCCCGCAACTGCACTGGAGCGCACCTCGAACAGCCGCACCCAGCCACCACCGTCACCCACGACAACCAGCTCGCTGTCCTTCGCGCGCGGAGGAACCCACACGTCCAAACACAGCGGCACGAAGTCGATCTCGGGAATCTGGCAGCAGCAGCAGCAGCAGCAGCAGCAGCAGCAGGGGACCCGGTGGCAGCGACGGTGCGGGATGGGGTCGGTATCGGCAGTGAAAGGCGGCGGCGGCGGCGGCGGCAATGACATGCGACAGGGGCGTCGGTCGGAAGGTAGGCGGTCGGGGAGGGGAGAGGAAGCGGGGAGGGGAGCCGTGCGGTCGGGTGGGACAGGAGGAGGGTGGGACAGGAGGAGGGTGGGGCAGATCAAACAACGTGCGGGAATAATGGTCGCGCGGTCTTCGAGGAGGAAGGGGGGGAGGAGGAGGCGGGAGAGGAGGAGGAGGAGGGGGAGAGGGAGGAGGAGGAGGAGGAGGAGGAAGATTGGCTGTTTGATGGAGGCAGTGACGGTAGCTGTAGGGCAAGGCAAGGCACACGTGGTGGGGCACGGGGATTGCAGGACACATGCACACATTTCCCGGCCTGTGGCCGACTTCCCCTCTTCAAAAGCCGGATCTTCAAAGCCCACCACCGCGAAGACGGCCTGCATTGGCCCGTACACAGAATCGTTTTGGCTGACCTGTCCAGCAATCTCGTACGACGCCAGATCGTATATCCTGATGGACCTGCTGAAAGAGCCCACGGCTAGCTTCTGTGTGAGCGGCATGAAGGCCGAACATGTCGCCCAGAGCCCGCCGCTATGCACCGAGCGAGAGGCGCGGGCGCTGGAGAGCCGCTCCGTGCCATCGCGGGCCGCCAACGCAATACGGGGCCGCGGCAGGTGCAGCGTCTTGACGTGCTTGAGGTCCTTGGCATTCCATAGCCGTACCGTGCCGTCCCTGCCGTACACACGTACCGCAGTACAGCAATTTTTCACTTTAAAGCAAACACAGATTGGTAATAGAGATCCACCCAGGCCCCAGCCCCGGCCTCCCCAGCTGCCGCAGCTGCAGCCCTCCCAACCCCGGTGCTGGCCCCAGCCCCGGCCTCCCCAGCTGCCGCAGCTACAGCCCTCCCAACCCCGGTGCTGGCCCCAGCCCCGGCCTCCCCAGCTGCCGCAGCTACAGCCCTCCCAACCCCGGTGCTGGCCCCAGCCCCGGCCTCCCCAGCTGCCGCAGCTACAGCCCTCCCAACCCCGGTGCTGGCCCCAACCCCGGCCTCCCCAGCTGCCGCAGCTACAGCCCTCCCAACCCCGGTGCTGGGCCCAACCCCGGCCTCCCCAGGTGCCGCAGCTACAGCCCTCCCAACCCCGGTGCTGGCCCCAACCCCGGCCTCCCCAGGTGCCGCAGCTACAGCCCTCCCAACCCCGGTGCTGGCCCCAGCCCCGGCCTCCCCAGCTGCCGCAGCTACAGCCCTCCCAACCCCGGTGCTGGCCCCAGCCCCGGCCTCCCCAGCTGCCGCAGCTACAGCCCTCCCAACCCCGGTGCTGGCCCCAGCCCCGGCCTCCCCAGCTGCCGCAGCTACAGCCCTCCCAACCCCGGTGCTGGCCCCAGCCCCGGCCTCCCCAGCTGCCGCAGCTACAGCCCTCCCAACCCCGGTGCTGGCCCCAGCCCCGGCCTCCCCAGCTGCCGCAGCTACAGCCCTCCCAACCCCGATGCTGGCCCCAGCCCCGCCCTCCCCAGCTGCCGCAGCTACAGCCCTCCCAACCCCGGTGCTGGCCCCAGCCCCGGCCTCCCCAGCTGCCGCAGCTACAGCCCTCCCAACCCCGGTGCTGGCCCCAGCCCCGGCCTCCCCAGCTGCCGCAGCTACAGCCCTCCCAACCCCGGTGCTGGCCCCAGCCCCGGCCTCCCCAGCTGCCGCAGCTACAGCCCTCCCAACCCCGGTGCTGGCCCCAGCCCCGGCCTCCCCAGCTGCCGCAGCTGCAGCCCTCCCAACCCCGGTGCTGGCCCCAGCCCCGGCCTCCCCAGCTGCCGCAGCTACAGCCCTCCCAACCCCGGTGCTGGCCCCAGCCCCGGCCTCCCCAGCTGCCGCAGCTACAGCCCTCCCAACCCCGATGCTGGCCCCAACCCCGGCCTCCCCAGCTGCCGCAGCTACAGCCCTCCCAACCCCGATGCTGGCCCCAACCCCGGCCTCCCCAGCTGCCGCAGCTACAGCCCTCCCAACCCCGGTGCTGGCCCCAGCCCCGGCCTCCCCAGCTGCCGCAGCTACAGCCCTCCCAACCCCGGTGCTGGCCCCAGCCCCGGCCTCCCCAGCTGCCGCAGCTACAGCCCTCCCAACCCCGGTGCTGGCCCCAGCCCCAGCCCCCCCAGCTGCCGCAGCTGCAGCCCCAGTGGCTCCACCTGCCCCAGCCCCCCACCTGCCGCAGGTGGCGTATCTGTCCACTCCGTTGGCGAGCTTCATGGCGGTGATGTGGGTGATGGCGTCTTTGTGCGCCAGCAGATCGGATACCGGCGAGGGAACGGGATCCTGCAAGAGGAGGGCCAGGGAGGGCCGGGGGGGTTTCAGGTAGGTTCAGGGGGGACAGACGAACCACACACGAGTGAAGCTGCTGCTAGGGCAAGAGTGTACCAAACTCATGGGGGAAGGGGGGAAGGGTTTGAATTCCTCCCCCCCTCCACATCCCCACGGCCTGTCCCTCCTCTCCGCCTCCAGACAGCCCGCCCCCTCACCTGCATGGTGACGGTGCTCTCAAACTCCCGCACTCGGGCACTGCCCTGGCTCTCTAACAACATGTAGGTGGAGAACTCGTCCCAGTTGATGGTGCCATCACTGGCCGGGGGCACGTGCAAGGCAGGACGGAGTACGATATGGTGTACGGGTTACAGCAAGACTGGTGTACGGGTTACAGCAAGAAAGCTGTACGGGTTACAGCAAGACTGGTGTACGGGTTACAGCAAGAAAGCTGTACGGGTTACAGCAAGACTGGTGTACGGGTTACAGCAAGAAAGCTGTACGGGTTACAGCAAGACTGGTGTACGGGTTACAGCAAGAAAGCAGGTGTTCGGATTAGGGCAGGATAGGGCAGGGCTTATGTATTATAACAGGACAAGGCGGGGCAGGGTGAGGCAAGTGGTGGAAAAGGAATGCGAGGAGGAGGAGGACAGAACTGTGGGAGCGCGGCTCAGGGTAGGGCATAGCACCAACGTGGTGCTCCAGTAAGCCTTTGTGCTGCGAGCGGGAATCGAAGGGCGCACCAACCCCGCTGGCTCTTTTAATCCGCCAGCCCTCGGGCCTCAGCTCCCTGGCTCCCTCGCACATCCAAACATCGGGCCACCTCCGATCCACGTGCACTTACTACTACTATTACCATCATCATCATCATCATCATCATCATCATCATCATCATCAACACCATCACCACATCATCAACACCATCATCATCATCATCATCATCATCATCATCATCATCATCATCATCATCAACATCATCATCATCAACACCATCACCACATCATCAACACCATCATCACATCAACGTCGTCCTTAATACAATTCCTACCTGTCGGCGTCAATGCGCATGAACAGCTTTGCCAGCGCCTCAGCATCGCCGCCATCCTCTGTTTGGAGAATACCTGTAGAACGGGAGTAGAGTAGGGTAGAGGAACACAAAATGGGAGCGCACGGCACCCGCCAAACCCACCCAACCAGGAAAGCCTCGATGAACAGACGCACGACGCCATTAACGGTACAGGTAAAGGGTTGGGCGAACAAAGCCCTAGACCGGCAGTGCTGAAAAAATCCGCGCCGCGGCGGCCAAAGCGAATCGATGGAGTCAGTGAGAAGGGGCGGGGTTCTGTACTTCGTGGAGGTTGCCGCTGGGTGAGGTGCATGGGCGATCACGCAGAGTACCCGGGAGCGGGAATGAAGGGCCGGGGGAGAAGGGGAGCTGTGCATTGAAGAACCGCGCGATCTGCAAGGAGCAATGCGTGTGAACCAGCGCAATCAAGCTGCGCCGGGGAAGCTGAGTAAACGCGTGTGAACAAGCGCGCCCTGTTGGTCTCCACGCATCCACGTCGCGTGCGCCACGGGTCCGCCAGTTCGATCGCATAACGACCCACGGGTCAAGGCCGCCAACGATTGATCCCCGCTCAGCCTACCTTCCCACCCATTCGGTGCTCATCCAGCAAAAACCTCGGGCCCCCCCGCTCCCCTCCCCGTCCTCACTTTTAGCAGTCGCGCCGCTATTTCCCTGACCCACCCACCCACCCAGAAAAGCCTTGATGAACTCCTGGGGGTGCAGCTGCCCCGTGCCGTCCGTGTCCGCACTGTCAAACTTGGCCTTGACGCGACGCAAAATGTCCTGTGACGAGAGACAGGGAGATGCCCAAGGTAATGCAGCGGCGGCTTTCAGAGGAAAGGAAGGGAAAAGAAAAGAAAGGGAAGCCATGTCGGCGCGGAACAGGGAATCGCAGGCCCCGAGCTTGCTTCAATGATGCTTCAACGATCTACGAGGACAGGATCTCTCCATCCTAGAGTGGGTGGGGGATGTGTGCGGGTGTTTACCCGGGGTTGACCGTTGGGATGTCTGTTGGGACGAGAGGCTGTGCAACCGCGCCGTAACGAAAAGGATGACGCGAGCATTCCGCAGCGGGTAAGGCAGCAGTGGCTGGCGAACTGGGTCATAGAGAAAACAATGACCACCATGGCCCCCATCAGTCCTCCTGTGGCTATGGGCTTTGGGTTTTGGGGCCCGGCACTTCACCCTCAGCCATCAGGTCTGACCCATGAGAAGTCCCCTCCCCTCCCCTCTCCATCTCCCCTTCCTTGGCTTTCAGAGGCGACAAACAAAAACAGCAAGACAGAAGCTTCCTAAGGGGGGATCGCCCAGGGCTTTTTTTCAGGCTTCCTGCTCCAAAAACACATTCTTCTCACAGTAAGGAACTGGACCGCAAAGGGATTCATGCCCCGCCCAGGCCCAGGCCCAGGCCCAGGCGCAAGCGCAGGTCCCACCACACTTCGCGCCGTGTCGAAAAACTGCATTCTGCATTCCTGGCTGCTGCCCGTCGTCCGGGAACACCGGGAGCCCCCTCAGCGACCCACATGGATACATGCTTGATCTTGGCAGGGCAGCATGAGGAGTGCCACCACACGCCCCAAAGCAAAGCACCTCTCATCTTTAAAACTTTCTTTCACCTAGGTGTGAAGCTTCACCCCGACCCCCGCGTGCCTGGTTAATGGCATCCGTCCCAGTGCCGTGCTCAGCGCTGTATTTGGGCACGTAGCCGCCCCGCTGTGCGCCGCCCTGCGCATGGCCGCTGACGGTGCGGGTCGCCACTCCCAGCCTGCCCGTGCCGCCGCCGGTGGTGACCGAGTGCCGACCTGAACCCGTCCCATTGCCGTGGGCTGGGGCTCCGGCCGTGCCGGCACGTGCGCGCGCCAGGAAGGGCAAAGGACGAGGCACGACACGATTAAATACGACACGATTAAATACAAGCATGGAGGAGTCAAGTGCGGAGCAAAGGGGATTTGGTGGTCGAGGGCTGTGCGCTTCAAGTTATGGTGGGGAATTTTGGAGCGCAGGGGGGGGATAATGGTGGCCGTGTGTGCTGGTTGGCGCAGGGCCTGCAGCAGGGAGGTGGGAGGTTTGGAGGCTGGCTCAAGCGTATGGCACATGCCATGTTCTGTGAAGGCGTATGGTCTATTTACGTGGCGGGGACATGGGCGGCGACAGCTTACCGGACGTGCTGGGTGCTGCGGAGCCGCCTGCCCGGCGTCCCTCCTGCGGCATACGTCCGAGTGAGGTGGTTCGTGTAAAGCGGACGTGCCCATGTTTGGTACTGAAACATGGAAACGTGAACCGCCCTTCTTCAAGTGTGCATTCCATGCACAGTCATGACGGAGGTAAAGCGACCCAGATAAGCATACCTGGCCCAAGTTAAACATGCTTCAGTCAAATGATTATGCTAGGGGTGAGCCAAGCAGCTTCCGGCTTTCCTTTCAACTGGTCCACCGATGCTTTGCAGCGTCATGGGCTCTTTTTTTACATAGCATCAAGTCATAATTATAAAGGTCCTCGTCTACATCCTTTAAATCCATTATGAATACATATTGGTCGTAAGTATCTATATCCGTCAAGGCGAGAACTCACACACTGTCAGTCTATATCTAGACAAAGATTGTGAACCAGAGGTTTCCTGGGTAAACCTAAGGCAATCAATATATGCAATAGGTGCATTAATGGCTTCCACATTTCAGCTCAGCGTATCGAGAATTCCTCGAAGCAGGTACGGCACAGGCTTTCACCAAACCACCTGTCCTTACTGCGGTCCATGAGCCTCCTGGCTCGTCTGGGCATTACGAGCTCTCGCGATCTTGTAACGTAACATAACATAACCTGTCCTTAAGTACCTTCTTTGGTATATCTTAGGAGGAACCAATTTACTTTACTGACGGTGCCATGTAATCCTGAAAAATGCAGGCTGCGGTTCTGAGGCTGGTACAATAATCAGTGAAAGCTGCAGTTTCGATTGGGGTCCACGCCACAACTGTATAGCTGGCCGCTGAAAAGGCCTCTCGAAATGCTGGTCAAGCGCTTTGCGCGAATTTGTAGTTGGTATGTGTGCCGTACTGTGTACCAGCTACTACATTACCGATAACCCTCCAGCCGCTGAGTTCTCTATAACATGAGTCATTGCTGCGGTGCTACTGCTTCCATGTCGCTAACTCCATTCGAGCCTTGCTTCTTCTGCACCAATTTCACTTCAAGTAAAGGTTTTAGGTCTTGATAACATTGCTTGCTGCTGCGTGCTGCGTGCTGCATGCCGGCGCGGCTGCTGTTCGGATTCATTGCGCTCGGATTCATACCCTATGACGGTCCTCACAATGCCACACAGTGCAGTGTGCATGATCAATGACATAGATGTAATGCGCGTGTATCAGGCGAGGGCTTGTTTGCATTTTTCCTTGTCCTTGCCGACGCGGAGGACTACAAACACGGCCATTACCAACGCGCGGAAATCCATACGTGATGAAGTATGCGGTTCAACCCCCGATAGGACGTTGGTGGACTGTATTGTGCTTATCAAGCTGCTGTACTCTCGATTTTGTTGACACCTAACAGGACAGACGAAGACATAAGCGCAGTCGGTTCCTGTCTGCGTGCCATAAGAAGGCGCCGCCGCCTCAACTTCACGGCCCATGTTCCTCACGGCCCTCTGCAGGGTCCCCTGGTCCTTTGAGATGCTGCGATAGTAGATGTCGGCCAGCAAGCAGCGTGTGGCTCTCAGCATGATAAGCAAGACGTGCGCGGCAACACAGATGAGTGCAGCAGAATAGGTTACACATGCAGAGAAATTGGTTTGTTCGTCAGGGTTCATCGGTAGGGCGGATACTTGAGGTGGATACCTCCGCGCATATACCGGCTTGAATTGCGTAGCGATCGTAAATTGTTACATGCTCCAGCACTGTCACGATCAGGCCAGCGAATCACACACCTTGGATGTAAAAGATTGAAAAAAGATTTAAACGCCGCAGAAGCTCCCTACCCAGGCGTGCTACCAGCAAGGAACTGCAAGGAACCTCGAGCGCGGTAGACGCGTCCCGACTTAAAAGGATACATAAAACATTTTAAACGTTATCCGCTGGCCCGGACATATGACGAACGCTGGATTACTCGAAAAAATGGCCCCGGCAGCCCTACTTCATTAAAGGACTCCATAATAGGTCTTCAGCATTTATCCCTGCACATCAGGACCTATGAGGGACAAGCCCAACTGTTACTAACGACTTTTAAATTTGCTCGCATGAAGGCTGAAAGCCGCATCCGGATAACATAAGATAATGACATTGCACACTAGGTAAGTTGATGTAGCACGCTAACCTCCTCGCGAACGGCTATCTACCGCATACGAGCGCATACCACAAAGCGACGCACGCAAGCGGTTTCTCGGTAAGGCGCATGCGCCGTCCGCACGTGCATATCTTTCCTCTTAAAAGGTCTTTGGTCAACCTATAACCATCGTCCAACCAGGCGGCCACCTGGTCGTGCACTCTGCACTACAGCTTCAAAAACGGCGTTGAGCACGCAGTAACTAAAAGCAACAGCAAATCATAACGCTGGCGGCAAATAGCGAAATGCACAGATGCACTAAACGCCACACTCCACGTTCGACGAGGTGCATCGAATAATACGTTCGTTCAAGATGCGCGTATGTGTCCGTCGCCGCCTGCGGGGTGGTGCAAGCACTGGTGCCCTTGCGCATACCGCCTACACACACCACTACACATTCCACTACAACTGCACACACACTACACACACCACTACACATTCCACTACACATTCTAATACACATCCCACTGACAACATTTGCATAACATGTTCGGCCCAGGTGTTCGGCGCCATGATGGGGCGCTTCGGGAATGCCCGAGCCCCTTATGCATGCACGGCACAATTCCCAACGTCCTCGCCAGATGCTTGATGATCTCGTTCGATATGTATGTACAAATGGCGGCGTCGGCCGCAATCACCAACACCTGCGGCCATGAATTGAAAAAAACGAGTATGATGAAAACGGTTGTCCTCAGCAAAAATGGCGACGGTGAACTGAAGTAAAAGCAGAAAATGCATGCATAAATGGAGCATCAGATTACGCTTGGCCATGCAGTACAGTGTGTCCGACAGCTGTGCACGTCGTGTCATCTAGCTTGTTCTAATTGCCAAGCAATCTCTCAGTTCCCGGGCTTGCAACTGCACAACGGCACACGCTTGCTACATCCTTAACGTTTGACGCGACACAAATTCTAACACTTACACATACATAATTCGGCATGCCCGGAAGTTAGCACGGCGGCCGACGTTGCAGTATATATCTTACCACCATGCAGGAACACAGTCAGAGTCATTATCCAAACTAAACAGAACGGAATAATAACCAGGACGGGAGGAAGATTGGGGCTTACCTTGCATGTAGGTTTGTCTGTTGGTCAGGTGTACGGAACGCCCTAAGCGAGAGGTCCAGCGACGTTCCCCAGGAGCCGTCGATTGCGCCCCTTGCCTGACTCCTTGCGACTGGGGGATGCTGGCCGGGTGGCGTTGGCAGGAGCTGTACGGTTGTACTCGGAGCGCGTGCCGTTGTACTCGGAGCGCGTGCCGTTGTACTCGGAGCGCGTGCTGTTGTATTCGGAGCGAGTGCCGTTGTATTCGGAGCGAGTGCCGTTGTACTCGGAGCGAGTGCCGTTGAAGTCATCATCATGCCATGTACCGTTGTACCTAGGCGGTGCGGGGGTTGAGGCGCGGTGCTCCCAATCATTCTCACCATCGTCATCACCATCGTCATCACCATCATCATCCGCATCGTCATTCTCAGGCTCTGGTGACCGGGGGGATGGTGCGCCGCTGCCGCCACGTCCCTCGTTTTTGCTTAGCAGGTCACGACCGCGCCCCTTGCCTGACTCCTTGCGGCCGGGGGATGCTGGCCGGGTGGCGTTGGCAGGAGCTGTACGGTTGTACTCGGAGCGCGTGCCGTTGTACTCGGAGCGAGTGCCATTGTACTCGGAGCGAGTGCCGTTGTACTCGGAGCGAGTGCCGTTGAAGTCACCATCATGCCATGTACCATTGTACCTAGGCGGTGCGGGGGTTGAGGCGTGGTGCTCCCAATCATTCTCACCATCGTCATCACCATCGTCATCACCATCATCATCCGCATCGTCATTCTCAGGCTCTGGTGACCGGGGGGATGGTGCGCCGCTGCCGCCACGTCCCTCGTTTTTGCTTAGCAGGTCACGACCGCGCCCCTTGCCTGACTCCTTGCGGCCGGGGGATGCTGGCCGGGTGGCGTTGGCAGGAGCTGTACGGTTGTACTCGGAGCGCGTGCCGTTGTACTCGGAGCGAGTGCCATTGTACTCGGAGCGAGTGCCGTTGTACTCGGAGCGAGTGCCGTTGAAGTCACCATCATGCCATGTACCATTGTACCTAGGCGGTGCGGGGGTCGAGGCGTGGTGCTCCCAATCATTCTCACCATCGTCATCACCATCGTCATCACCATCATCATCCGCGTCGTCATTCTCAGGCTCTGGTGACCGGGGGGATGGTGCGCCGCTGCCGCCACGTCCCTCGTTTTTGCTTAGCAGGTCACGACCGCGCCCCTTGCCTGACTCCTTGCGGCCGGGGGATGCTGGCCGGGTGGCGTTGGCAGGAGCTGTACGGTTGTACTCGGAGCGCGTGCCGTTGTACTCGGAGCGAGTGCCGTTGTACTCGGAGCGAGTGCCGTTGTATTCGGAGCGCGTGCCGTTGAACTCGGAGCGCGTGCCGTTGTATTCGGAGCGAGTGCCGTTCAAGTCATCATCATGCCATGTACCGTTGAATCCTGGGCGAGTGACGTTAAACACTTCAGGACGTTCGGCGGGAATGCTGTTGCGGTCGGGACGGGTCTCGCTCGACTCGTCAGCAGGCTTCGGGTACGGGGCGCCGGCGGGTCTCTTCTCACCGCGGTCGTTGCCCTTGCTCAATAACTCCCGGCCAGAGTGTGGCGCGGACAACCCATTTGCAGGCAAACCTGCAAGCAAGAGGTTTGAATGGAGAGAAATGAATTTTATGTTATTTGAGTTTTGATGAACATCGAATATAGGATGGCCTTGAGGCATGCGGCGCGCAGGTGGGTTCATTTGGTTACGTGCCTTTTAAGGTAAGGTTGTGACAAATGGTTACTAGCAATTCCTAGCACCTGATACAATCACCCATCGGATAATTTGAAGTGTAAACTATGGAAAGATTTATGCTGCGAAACTGCAGCACGCAATTTCTCTTACTTCGTGTCCACGCGACGACTGCAACAAGCGTGATGAACAGCAGCCCATTTAAGGGTATGTGCCTCGGGAGAATCCTCATATCTTCAATAATTTGAGTCCTGTAACTTCTACCTGCGCACGCGAAAGGCGGGACAGAACGTCCGGTTGAGTTGGTAAGAGTTGGTAAGAGTCGTGAAAGGACCAGAAAGGAGCAGAGCGCAAGCATGAACCTCTTGATGCTGCTTTATCGATGGTCAGGCGGTATTCATGGTGAGGTGTGGGACAAATCACCTGCGGGTTCTGGTCCACCACGTTGTTGAGGGGTGTTGCGATGCGATGTGCAGAAATAATGTATTGGGGCCCAGTCGCCCTTACCAGGCTTTCAATCCTATTGGGAATATAGAATTTATTATTGTCTAGGGGCTTATATGGGCTATGATGATGAAGCTTCTACGATACCAATAAGTACCGGTTCATAAAGTTACGAAGCCGTGTCTGACAATCAACGGAACACCAGTTAGCCCTTGTAAAAGTATGAATAGGATCCTCAATCATTAATTATATTATTGTAATGCTATGTAATAAAATCTATTGAAATTTGCTATTGGCTGCGTATGTTTGACTCCTGGGCAAAACGTGTGCGTACAGGCCATTCGTGCTCGCACTAGCTGCGCATTCCCGCCGCCCGCCAATACGAAGCGTAGTGACAGTATATATGTTTTTTCCTGTATAAGTACGCATCTGAGCAAATTCCTGCTGGATTATGGTAATGTAATGCGCGATGCCGTTGCCCTAACTGCGTTTGCGCGCATCGCACTCAGTTTTCCCATGTCTTGGGACGTCAATGCCTAAGCATATTTCCATACAACTCGTAAAAAATATATATATGGCACTTATGTATCCAGAGGAAAGCGATAGATCTACGCCTAGCTCTTTGCTCCGGTAATGTTTTATGATGCTGCCGGTGCTTCCAGGTGCTGCCAGTTGTTGTGCCCCAAGATTTGACCTACGCAACCAGTTCTCTTGGCTTTTCGTGATTGCTTGTTGCCGACTTTTGTCATACACCCTTGCGTTATAATACACTGCAACGAAGCTACGCGGGCTGGTGCGGCGGAGACCGTCACACACTCCAAGAGTACTGCCCCTTTGGCGGACCAATTCCTCTACTTTGTGATGCTCGCCGCTGTTGGTGAATCAAAAAGTTACGCATTAGCAAGCCCGATCCGGCCCTGTACGTTACAGTTGTACGCGACTTGTACGCGAGATTACATTTCACACTCTATTCCACCAATTTGTAACTCGCGTGTATCTGTAAGTCTGTTCTGCTTGTACCCAGGTACGCTTCGTCAGAAGCACCTCCTACATCTCCACTATCCTCACCCCTCGGAGGAGCAATCAGAAGCAGATTACCTCCTACACGATCATAAACGTAATCGTACGTGCCGTCCTTATCCAACACCATTAATGCACCATCCACACAGCACCCCTTACGGCGTTCACCCCAAGCCAAAAGTAAGGCCTAATTCATCACATCACCAACTCCTAAGATGCATACCCTCAACCCAGCCTCAACCTTACCAGCCTCAACCTTACCAACCTTACTAGTCCTAACGCCCACCGTCTGCTACCTCCAAGGCAAGAAGCCCCCAGTAGAGAGGAACTGAATTCTAAGCTAGGTTCACAAGCACTTCTGCCCTCTCATCCACACATTTCATTTTACCGACGCTATTCACTTGCGATGTAGAAGACGCGAACCCAAATCCCCATTGCCAGCACTTCAAGATCGGAACCATGGGCACTGGACCCCAGACGCCATCATCCAGCGACAGTACCTCCGTCTCCCACCTCGTCATTGGACCCATACCATCTTCCACGTCCCTCGACCCTTTTGCTGCTGCTGGTACTGCTAGTACTGCTAGTAGTGCTGGTACGGCTAGTACTGCTAGTACTGCTGGCACTGCTAGTACTGCTGGTACTGCTAGTACTGCTAGTACTGCTAGTACTTCTGGTAGCCATCTCCGGCCCCCTGCACACCGCCGCGGCCGCCACCGCCGCAGCAAAAAGAATTTTCCGGCTTCGCCGCCTCCGCACACTTTGTTTTGCGGAAGGTGCTGGAAGAGGCCGCGTTTTTATTAGTCATCGTCATGGTAGGCCATCAAGTACGTGGCTCGCAGGGTGTTGGCCGCCTCCAGTGCCGCCATCCTGCCCACACGCTTAGGAAAGGCCACGAACACATCGACGACATCCTGTGCGATGACGGTGGAGTCGCCGGCGCCCCCGGAGACTCCCACTGCGGCGGCCGCAGCTCTGCTGCTGCTCCGATCCAAGAGGGCTAGCAGCCTTGAACCTAGCGGAAGGTGGAGGTGACGTTGACGGCGACGGTAGCGGATAGGGTGCGCAGCAGTGACAGGGAAGGAAGGGCCAGATGCATTGGGCGGCGACATTGGCGGCGGGTGCAGCGATACCGAGACGGACGGACGGGAAAAGATGATGCAGCAGCAACAGCGGCTAATGCCCGGGCGCCAAGCGCGAAAGACCAACCGTAGTCCATTGCTAACTAGGCGTGCGGTACTGCGGCGGTGCCAGGCAGGCGTGCGGTTGTTAAGGGATTCCATGGAAAAAACAAAACAAAGACAAGGTGCCCGGGGTTCGATCCGCCACCCTATGCGGTGCAACTGGGAACTCCGCAGCACCTCGTCCCATTCGAAAAATAAAATTCCCAAATTTTTTAACACTTTTCCAGTATGGCGTTGCCGCCTGCTTATCCCCTCGCCTTCACATGCACGAGCCACAATCCGCCATGCCACGTACAACCCCCATTACCCCCGCGTGTACCAGTCTACCCAATCCCGCTTACCCTGCCCTACCTGCATACCCGACACGCTACACACACACGCACAAGGCAAAAGGCAGTGTCCTGTGTGTTTTCCTGTATTTCTTGTATGCGTACGTCTGCGTCCGCGCTCTACGGGCTGTAGCTCGGGCGCCCCCCCCCCGGGTGGGCTTCTTGCTCCCCAGGTCTTACCTTCGATTACGGCGTGTACCTCTTCGTACGGCACATCCGTCAGCTCCGCCGACTCCTCCTCCTCGTCCTCTTCCCCTTCCTGACCAAACGCAACCACACTTGCATCGCCGGGCTCCGGAACCCCCGGTGTTTGTCGGCCAACGCCACGACCGCGGGCTCCCGATACTGACGCAGCCGCGTTGGCGCTACTGCTGCGTGAGAACAGCAGCGCCTGGAGGCGCGCAGCACCGGGCACGGAGCTGCCCAGTGCGCTTGAGGAGATGCGGCGGATGGCGCTGAGTCCAAGGCGGGAGACGGGAGAGGTGCCGTGGCGGGGACTCTGAGTCAGTGACGGTGACGGCAGCGTCGCCTGTGAGGCGGCAGCTGGCGGTGCGGAGTGTGGAGCGCGCTGTTGAGGCTGCTGCTGGCCGTGGGCAGCTTGCTGCTGTTGCTGCTGCTGCTGCTGCTGCTGCTGGCGGTGGTCGAAGCTCTGGGGGGATAATGCCGTGGTAGTTGTGGTAGTTGTGGTTGCCGCCGTCGACTGCTGCTACGGTAAGGAAGTAGCAGCAGTAGCAGCAGCAGCAGCAGCAGCAAGAAGAAGAGAGCGTAAGGAGATAAGCAAACAAGGAGGAGGAGGAGGATATTCACGCCAAAAAGCAGATATCACAACTTGCCTTCGGCGGGCTTCCTGGCGAGTTCGGCCCACATGCACCGCCACGGCTGCCGGCGCTGGCGGCGCTACGGTCCTGCAGGGCAGCCTGCAGCGCGGCGGGCATCTGCGGCCAGGTTTGCAGCACGAAGGAAAGGAGTGCGTCCAGCGTGGAGCGGAAGAAGAGCTGCAACCCGTCCCCACCGGCCGCCTGGTTTTCCTCACGATGCACCGAGGGCGGCCTGGGTGTGGGGAAAAAACGAGTAACTGGCATATGCTACACGCACCATCATCTGTACAATCTAAATCTGTACAATCTATATGCCGCACGCACCATCATCTGTACAATCTGGATAAACCCCCATTCCTGTAACCCCCCGGATGCATCACAGCATGGAATACACACCTCCGCACTTAAACACCGTTTAGCCTAGGTGTTTATGTGGGGGCCCGGGCCTACAGCCCAGCAGGGCGGCTTGTATGCACGGGGGAGATAAATGCAAGGACTAGGAAACCGGGTGTATACGGCTGCGTCTTGTTGGGGATCAGGAGCTCGTGAAGTCAACCAACTTATTCACCGGTCCACACCGATCAGGCAAAGTGGGGGATCGTTCGGGAAGGCTGACGGTGGGTCTCCCTCCGGTCACCGGTGTTGCTCCGTACTTGTACTGTGACGGGCGAAACCCCAGTGCGGAATGAAAAGCGCATGAAATGGGAGAGAACCAATACTCTGGTAAAGGCATCACGATGGAACCCAGGCGTGCGAGGAAAGCAGCGGGCGGCCTCTCTCCCCCACACACACCCCAGGCGGTCATGGAAGGGTCGGGTTCCTGACGCCGCTGACGCCGTACCTGTGCGACAACCGTGCCGTAATGGGGCTTGTGGAGCTGCCGATCTGCTTCAGCAATGAAGGTGACACCAGCGGGTTGAAGCCCTGGGTGTACGGTATGTACGGCAATGGAGAGGGCATGGACGTTGGCAAACATGCAAACAAGCTTTTGGGGCAAATGCTTTTGGCGCGTATGGACGGAAGCGTTATTTGTCTCACACTGGCAATTCGCGCATCTTGTCATGGACCAGTGGAGAAATGTTCTCGCTCTGAAGTTGGTCTTCGTGCCTGATGCACACGTCCCTCACGGGTCCCCTCGTGCTGCTAGAGGCCCTTTCCCCTAAGCTCCCTTCTCTCCTTCATCCCCGTTCTCAACATCGAATTCGAGTTCGCCGTGGACTTGAAAACTGTTTCCCAGCCGGGGAGGTCATCTTTGTCATCAACGAATCACGAGCTCGTCATGAATCGCAATCAAGCACCTGTTGAACGGCTGAGCCGCCACCGTGCCCCCATAACAGCATCGCTGATGGTGGCGAATGCACCACCACCAGCGCCAGGTCGAATGTGATGGTCGAGAACTGCGGCACGGGTGAGTTGAGCCACAGCGGCCGCTACATCAAACCCACACACACACGCACACACACACACACGCCGTCCGCCGCACCCGCCACCCACCACCACCACCACCACCACCGCCGCCGCAGCAGCAACAGCAACAGCAACAACACGAGCAGCCACCCGCACAGTCCCGAGTCCAGGTCCAGTTACATGGAGGGAGGCAGGCAGGCAGGGCGGCAGGTTTGGGTCTTCGTCAGTGCTTTCCGGCATATTGGGATGTCTAGATGTTACAACAACAATGATTCTTGCGCTAGTTCTCCGGATGGCGCGGAATGTCCTCTAGACCGCCGACCCTTCCCCCCGCACGCGCTTCACGGGTTTTTGGACCGTATAAAACCCACACACACATACACCCGCCTAGCCGGGCTTGCGAGCCTCACTCATGTCACTCACCTCCAGTGCATGACTCACGCCCAGCAGGTGCGACCGCAGTTTGTCCTCGTAGTCCTAAACACGCAGTATTCCCACATAAACCCCGAAGGACACGGATTACGGATTACGCGTGTTGAGAATAGAGCTAGACATGCAGGTATTCATGGAAGCGTGGGACATGGGGGAAGCGTTCGGAAGCGTCTGGAGGGGTTTTTGGGGCGTGGCGGGGTGCATGGCTGCCGGAAAAGCCTGCTCCAACGCCCGCCAGCGCATCGGCGGGAGAGTGAGGAAAGGGCAATATGCACGGCATGTACTAGAACTACATCTACAGGGCAACAAGGATGGCCGAATAAAAGACGTCGCCGAGGCAACGAATGAATGAAGAGTGCTGCATGTTTCTAAGCCACGCGCTTCCACGTGCTGCGGGTTCCTGTGCGCTCGCAAGTGCGGATTTCCACGCCTTCCGGTTCTCAAGCTGGTGCGGGTGAGACGATGCATGGGCAGGGAGGTAGTGGTCCGGCAGGAACTGAGCTAAGGATGGGAACAGGAGCTGGAGGAGGGCTGGGGATGGCGACGAGGGTTCGGGGAATAAACCACACGAACTGTACGGCTTGTTTGGAGGTGTTGGCACCGCGTGCTCAACAGCAGCATAGCACCAGCAGACACAGTAGAAACAGCAGCAGTAGTAGCAGTAGCAGCAGCAGCAGTAGCAGCTGCCACGGCAGCCCCTACCTGCAACGGCGGCGGAGGCGGCCCCCCCGACTCGAACATGACTGCAAGAAGCACGGCTGCACGCAGAGCGCGAAACGGCACGGGCTGTCAGAGGCCATACCATGGCATGGTACGGCGCGTACGGAATAATGCCAGGTAGCCCGAGGTGGGCCGTCCAAGTTGGCCCCCGTGCATGACATGGAAAGGCTCTTCCGCCGTTCCAGTGGGAACGAGTGATGGGATCGGTGTGTGGTGTGTGGTATGTGGTGTGTGGTGTTTGATGGAGCCAAGAGGGTGGCTAACATCCTACTGAAGTCTGAAAGGTCCCTCAAAGTGTTGCGCTAGCGGGAGAACGAGGAAGAGGGAGAGAGAAAGCAGGGGGGGAGAGAGAAAGCAGGGGGAAAGCAAGACTTGACCTTGCACTCCGGAGATCCTCCCACTCCCCCGCGCAAGCCAGCGTCGTCTCAACGGATCCTAACCCCTCACGCAACCCAACCGCCATCCGACCGGCCAAACCCAACCCCGCACCCAACCCCTTCCCTCATCAACAGCAACCACCAACATAAACCCACATTCCTCCAGCCGCAGCAGCCGCAGCCGCAGCGGCGCCTGGTAGTGGCGTTTCGCCAAATGGAGCAGCAACTCCGGGGCCGACCCGTCGGGCTGTGACATCATGTGCCGATAGGAATGGGAGCGGATGCGAGAAATCAAACATTTGCAATGCACGCAGAGGCATCCACAGAAAGGGGATAGAGGACAGGCACACACGCACACACAAACGAGGCCGCGTAACGCGGAAACAGCGGGTTTAGAGCCAGGCTTGCCTACATTGCAAAGCCATGGATACAGGATACTGCAGGCGGGCCATGGCATGCACACACGCGCACGATGGCGATGTACACAGCTGACACCGCCCACAGACGCAGAGATGGCCAGGTGGTCCGCCCCTGCATGGCCCGCCCTGTCCCGCAACAGCGCTACCGGCTCCTCCTTCCCATGGCAATGCCTTACATGGTGGTTGGCAGCTTGCGCTGCCAGGTGCTGCACCAGGAGCTGCTCCCGCGCGGACAGCAGGGTCGACCAGCCTGACAACACGAGGGGGGGGAAGAGGAGGGGAATTACAGAACGCCGGAGGAGGAGGAGGCGGGGTCCCCGCCAAGATGCGAGCATCAAAAGGAGGACACCAATTTTCGACCCTCGCCCAGGGCAACAGCAGCAGGAGTTCAAAGCTATGGCGCGAGTAGCTGTCCGTTAGTTCCGAAAGCAGAGAAATTGGAGGGGGGGGCCCACGCACAGCGGATGATTGAGGGGGAAAGCATATGCGATTCGGTGGGAAGTGAGCTGCTGATGATTGTGGGGAGGGGGCGGGGAGCACAGGTTCAATTGATAGGATCGCCGGGTACAGGGAACGGACGGGTACGGTAATCTGGGTGTATCTGGGAAACAGCGAGAGACGCAAACGGGTTGAAAGGGTTGGCCGGCGGGTGCTCACTCCCCCGGGTGCGGGAAGCCAGATGCACGTGCAAGGAAGCAAAGGAATCGGCACTACCGACACATCCAAAGCCTTTCATCAGGTCATTCGAAGGAACCGCACGGCGAGGCTGAGGAGGGCGATAACAGGGCGCCGGATAACGCAACGGATGACACGATGGATGACACGATGGTCACAACGGTCACAACGGTCACAACGGTCGCAACGGCGCTGGTTCCGGTCACCGGCCGAAACCATCGTGCCGGAGAGAGCGGGGGCGTATGGTGCAAAGGGGATGCCACGGGAGCGTGGACTCTCTGCAGCTGTCTTGTCACACACAGCGGGTCCGCAACCACGCAGGGAGGCAGGAGGCGAAGAAGGAAGCGGCCCCGCACACGCACACAGACACACAGACATACACACACACAATGCCCTACACTATTGCCTACCATGCGACATGGAGAGATAGTAGCCTTCGCTGATCACGGCCGCATGTTGACAGCCCAGGGTCGTGATAATCTTGGCCAGGGCGCCCTGCATGGCGGCCTTATCCCGCAGAGCCAGACCCACAAGCTGCGACACCATACCACAGCACACCACAAGTTGTGTGTGAGCACAGTTAGCTAAGTCAAAGTCTACACCTACCCTGCCCTGTGGCACCCACCTGCGGCACCGGCAGCAGGATGCACGGCACGAGCGTGTCATCGGCAATCAGGGAGTCCACGGCCCGTTGCACATCGGGGGCTGTCGACATGCCAGTTTCGTAGCATGTGTACGTACATGTGCAAATCCGCAAGGAAAGAGAGGTGCAACGGGGTGTCAAGGCCAGAACACGGCAGGGTAGGGCAGGGGCGGTGTGGTTGCCCACATCGTCATCCTTTGGGGACTCACTCACAATCGCCAGGGGCAGGGTCTCACTCACAATCGCCATCAACGACAACAAAAAGCGGACCCAGACGCAGCACGGTAAGCGGGTGCGGTGGGTACTTCATATGCACAGCAAAGGCAGTGCGCTCAATGGCGCGGAGGAGGAGAGGGGTGAGCTGCCGAAGGCGGCGCATGACGACGCATAAGAAGGAGGAGGGAGACGAGGGGAATAGGGTATAAGAACGCCATGAAGGCACATGAAGGGCACCGAAGAACGAGGGCGAGGACGAAACGGAGGTTGAGGGTGCGTGTGCGGGGGCACTAGTGGTGTTGTGGGCGCGGCCGCGGCCGCGGGCTACCCCCTGGGAGAGCATCATAGCGTACGACAGGACGTGATGAGTTCGCGTGGGGGCCGCGATGGAGGGTTAGGATGGTGGTTACGGGGTTGGCGTGTGCCGGGTGGGCTCTGGGAGGTGACCAGGAGGGGCGGCAGCAGCGATGGAGGGAGCTGGGAATGGGGCCGTCGGTCGGGCGGCGGGGGAGCGGATGGGCTGACACACGCGCACGCACCTTTTAGTTTCGACCTTAACACGCTGATCTTTGATGATGTGTCCAAAACAAGGGCTGCCGAGCCAAGGAGTAACAGCAGTACATCGTACAGCGTCTGGAGAGAGGGCATGGAGGGAGGAAAATGACGGTTTCGCGGCCAAAAGCTTGAGCTCGGAAACAGTGACGACCACAGAGCAACAAGCAGCGAGGGGAGGGGGGTTACAACTTCCGCACAAATGCGGGTGGGGGAGAGGGGTTGTCGCGTTCGTAAAAGCCCCCGCGGAGGGGGCCATGGACGGTCAATATCCATAAACAAGGATAAGCCTACAAACATATGCCTGGCGATGGTTGCGATGGTAGGTTGGGATGTGGTGTACAGCAGGCAGGCATAAGGCAGGATAAGGAATGCGCAGCTGCTAGCGGCCACAGCGATATCAGCTAGTTGCGCAGCGATTAGTTGCATCTCAGAGGTCAGGGCGGAAAGGAGAGTGTATTTTTTGTTGGGCGTAAGTGGATTATAAATCTTGTGGCACTCCCTACGGGCCGCGAGGTTTACTAACCTCGAGGTGCAACTGCAGCAGCTGCGTGTGGAGGAGTAAATTGCTCGTGACTAACACGAATAGTAGATGGTTGTCAAATCTGTAAGGAGGAGGTAAGGGACGGGTGTATTGTGGAGGAGCTCACGTCCAGTAAGGCATCCCAGAATTCTTGACCTGGACCCGCAGTGTGCACTGTCGTGAAACCCATCTCCCGACTCAATCACCCACCGACGATAGACGACCCGCACATTGGTGCTAGATATGACCCGAAGCTCATGTCCGCAGCTTTCCATACACCATGACGCAATGGTGCTGAGAAGTCCCTGAGATGCAAACCTAGGTGTCTGGATGTCTCCCAAGGCTCTTGTGAGCAAGGCGGTGTTGCCCTCTTCAAGGATTAAGAATAACTGTGGCATGTTACATCAGTATTGCCAGGTACTTTATTGCCAGTGCGAAGTCGAGAAACCTTGCATTAAACTATCTGGCCAACTGAGCCCCTCCAACGGTTAGTAAGCTATCCAGTAGGTGCATTGCAACCAATGATCATAATATTTCTGGTAAACTGGTGTCAAGGACCTCAGTCGTTCCGCGACCGTTACTCATTCAAAGTGCCAGCCAGCTGCCGTGAAAAAAACAGTCGCACGTGCAGTGACACTACCAGTTACTGAGCACAGCCTGTAATACACGACATGAAGCACGTTCCTAATTGGCGTTCCACCGTTGGTTGACCATGACCCTGATTTTCGCACCGGCAAATCGAACGCGAAGCGGCCCGTTAATGTATTTCCAGTCCATGTCCAGAAGCTATGTCACACATATTCAACCAACAGAGCTCTCTGCATGAGGAAACAGCACGTTTGGGCCAGGACTGCCAGGACCTCGCGGCAGCGGATAGAGCGCGCGCAGAGGCTCTGGCACAAGTATCTGATATGCTCAATCGCGTTAGGGAACAGAGCTCGGCAGGCTTGTCGGAGTCGTCGGCTCAGGTTGGTTGCCCGATGTCGGTTAATTCCGGCCTACCTGAACCCCGACAAGCTGCGTCCCAGGCGTCGATCGGCACAGCCCCTGGCGATACCCATGCCATCGGAACTGGCGGCCCGCTGCCTGCGGGACAAGGTATGATGTGGATTCACTGGCACTGCTGGTACTGGCCCTTGACACGTTCTCCCGGTCGCTGCTTCCCTTCGATTAGAGTGGGAGACAAGTCCAGGCGGTCGGACAGCAATTCCCCGGGTCGTGGAGACAAGCCTTGGCACGCTATCCGCAGCAAATCGGACCCTTTCAGAATTTCAGTACGATGTAAGTGAAAGCGGGACTGTTATGGGTGCGCATGGCAAGAGCACAAACTTGGCCCGAATGCAAACAAGTTACAAGTGCCCCACGAGTGGGGGGGTTCCGTCAAAGCCGGGAGGCCATGGACTATATGTATTGAAAGCTGATTACACCGCAAACCAGCAGGGACCCGTCCTGCCTGGCTCAATGAAGCCTGTCGATGCCTGTCAGCTGGGCTTCGTTGACGGCTGCTGCTGCTCCCCAAACCCGCAACACCGGAGAACAGTCGGTGATGGCGAGGGGCATACAGGGCCAGGAATGCCCCTCAGTTTCGGAGCCCCTTTACGCACAGCAAGTCCTGATCGGTCTGATCGGACTTTTACTTTTTTTTGCCTAAACAGCATTTCTGCAACGCAGATGGGAATTGCGTCGTGATCTCATGCCTGTGGTGGCCTGCTTCACCATGCCATGCAGTTGAACAGTGGCCTCTCCCAGCTCGCACAGCAAGCAGACGTGGCCAGGCGCACCGCTTCTACAGCCAAAGCCCATGTCGGCTTCCTGCAACAGCTTGTATCGCCACGCAAGTCCGCCCCTGGAACCGACAGCCCCCGGCGCCTGGGGTGGAGCGGCGCGCAGGGGGCAGCTGTGCAAGGCGCGTACGGGAACCCAGCAGCCGAAGACGTGTCAATCAGGTTCCAGGTGAATGCCTACGGACTAAGGGCCTGAGGACTAAGGGCCTGGGGTTGCATATCAATATACGCAACACGCTAAACGCTGTCGGGATGTGCAAAGCAGTCCGGGCCATGATATCGGCAGTCAATCAGTAAAAAATTAAAAGTGCCCAGTATTTATAAAAAAAAACTCCTTATAAATACGAATACAAAAAAATATTAAGAATTATAAAGGTGGCCCAGTGGATATTATTGTAGTATTGGCTCCCTTGCAAATACTAAGGAGCATTTGGGCAGTGGCCCCGCCCGTGGCAAGGTGGTAAGGGAGCTTTAGGGTACTGTCCTCCGTGCCGCGCTGGGGTGTTGGCATTGTGCTTCCTTCCGGGTATTCAGGACCCATGCTGGGGCCCATTGCGGTCAAGAATGCGGCCAGAATGGTCCCTTAGAGCTGTGCGTCAGGTCATGCTGGAGGTTTCCTGATCAGGACCTGATCCTGACCCTGTGTTCCGATTGTTGTGTGAGCGCAGGCAGGCTCACCTAATCCGGAGATCGCGTCCTTGCTGCGCGTCCTGCAGGTAAGACGTGTGTGCGCGCGGCAAAGTCGTTTCCCCCTGACCTACGGATTTTACCCTCGTGGCGCCCTCGTGACTCGAGAAACTCGAAAGGTTTTGCAGCCTGCCAGGGCAAAATGCGAAATCGAGGCTCCCTGCCTGGCATTGTGAGAACAGCCCTTGTGTAAATAGCTCCTCCTGAGACATGAACACACATGGAAATCGCCCAAGCATTTCGAATTTGAAAAAAAATGCCGTCCCGCGTATTTCTCCCCCTCTCCCCTCCCTTTCCCCCCGTGTGCCGCGGTGTTTCGGAGCAGGAGGCAGCCCAGCAGCGCGCTCTGGCGGAGACGTCTCTGTTACAGTCGCCGTCGCCTCGCGCAACGATAGGGATCTGGCCCGAGGACCTTCCACAGCGAGGCACCGCCAGCTCGCCGCTGTTGGGGCGCTTCGACGATTCCGACAGCTGGACGCCTCGGTTGCGGCCCGGCGATGGAGGTTCGACGGAGGGCGGTGTGTCCTACTCAGGGGCGGTCGACACACCCGCGCTGTCTAAAATCAGCCGCCAGATGTTCGCACAGGAGATTGACGCGGAAGACGCGGAGGAGGATCGGGGATTTTCAGTTGCGAAAGAAGCTTTGCCAAGGTCGGCACGCATGATGGCTGGTCAAGCTGGCGGTGCTGCGGCCGCCGCCGGTGGGCATTCCCCCTCGCGACTGCATCTGTAGGTTTCACGGCATGGCTTTGGGACCGCGGGGGGGATTGGAAGGGATGGGCCCTGTTTTGGCGGTTTGTGTCTCCCCTTTAGGGAAGAACTAAAGGGGATGGTGTGCCGGCTACATGGTAGTTGACTACATGCATGGTATCTCTGCCAGCAGCTAGGTTTGTTCATGTATGGCATGCTGCATGGTGTTGTTATAGTTGGCATGTGCTATCTGTTAGGAATGCTCCAGACGAGTGCGCTGATCGCAGCTCCCCTGTGTGTGTGTGTGTGTGTGTGTGTGTGTACGCATCAGCGCATCTCCTAGGCCACCACGAAAAGACACGGGCAGCCAGCTGCCGCAGTCGCAGTCGCAGTCGCCGTCCTTGGTTGATGAGGATCTGGAGGAGAAGGCGGAAAAACTTCGGACGTTGGAGCGTGGCATCTACGAACTGGAGGTATGTGCATGCACACGGGGGACTTGGGCTTGGGATTAGGGTGGGGGCCATCGCTCTTGTCTGTGATGCCCAATCCACATCCAATAGACATCGCGTATGTATGTATGCGTGTCTTTGTTTGGGCCAACGTGCTGCAGGCGAGGCGTGAGGAGCTGCTTGAGACACTCGCAGACACGTCGTCGCGGGTAAGTCTGCCTTCCGCTAGCAGCTTTCTCCCATCCAGGTGTGTCGTTACCTCTCCGCACGGCCCGCTGGATCAGGCGCGGCTGCTGGTGCTGGTGCTGAAAACTGCGTTGATGTTGATGTTTTTGATGTTGGTGCAGCAGCCATGCTCGATTCAGCGACGCCGTACTACTAATAATTGCTTCCTGTCTGCCTGCCCCGCGCGTAGGTCACTACTTGCATCTTTGAGCTGGAATCCGTGAAGGTGGAGGTTCAAACAGCGAAGTCCGAGCTGGAGGCGGAGAAGCAGCGAATCGTGGTATGCAGCGCATCCCGATAAAACGCGTTGCGATGTACTCACGTTCGTTCAGCTAGCCGTCTGCGCTTTGCGCTAACATGGCTAAATGGCTGATAAACCAGACCCACGTACACTTCGCTGCAGCCTGTGTTTTGCGCCGCTGGTGACAGCTTGTACGTAGCCTGAAGGCTCTTTGTCCTCTCCTGACTCGCTGCTGTTGGAATGTATTAATGGTGAATGACTCGTCCGGCAGGCCGTGAACGAGCAGCGCCAAATTGCCGAGCAGCGCCTGATAGACAAGTTGCAACAGCTTCAGCAGCTGGACGCGCTGTGTCAGGTAGGGCCGGAGGTAACTCTCTGGACGTGTGTATTTGTGTGTATGTGTGTGCGGTTTTGTCACATGACCATTATCCCTCTTTAGGTAACACAATCGAGGTATCACACGCACAAGCACATTATCCCCGTGCGTGTATGTATGTATGTATGTATGTATGTATGTATGTATGTATGTATGTATGTATGTATGTATGTATGTGCGTTTGTGTGCAGTGCAAGGAAACCTGCGCACGTAGGAACTTATGTGACCGTGCGTGCATAATACATGCAACGAGAAGCGCATGGATTAGTCAGTTCACTGCCTGCCACCTGCTAATGCGGTAAGACAGTGCTCCGTTCCTCTTCGCCTATCCGTCCCCAGGCGAGCGCAGCGCAGCTGGCCGAAATGCAAGCCCATGTCGCAGATCTGGCAGCTGCTAAAGCATCATCGGCAGGACCATCCTCACCATCATCTTTTGCTGCAACTCATGCAGCGACGGTGACAGGAGAAGCGTATAGCTCAGGTCTTGGCCATCGCACCCGACTTAAAGTAAAGAGGCATCAATCTGTCAGGTCGGTAGGGCGCTTAGTAATATCCACCGTCGAGCTCGTCAAGATGCCGACTTTTTGCGATTCTTATGTTGACACAAGCAAACGTGCGACTTCGCGCTACGGGGCTGTGTCTTCTTGCACGCGCGTCGTGACCTAGTTTGGGGTTACAGTTTTCGTTTTGAGTTCTGCATCTCCATTTTGTGTGTCCCAGGGAAGCCCGGAAACCTGTCCGCCGCGGCTGCCATACCTGCAGTACCCCATGTTCGCAAGGCGACGGTGCGACATCCGCACCTTTCCGCAATCTTCTTTGAAAGCAAAGCAAAGCAAAGCTCGAAAAAACTACTATATGGGTGTATGTGCACCGCATCTGCAGGCGGTCACGGTCCTGTTCTGACTTCTCCCCCGTGCTCGGGGAACTGCAGCAGCACCCTGAGTGCAGCAGCTCTCAGTCCTTGGACTCGCACCCGAAGGAGGGCTCTGAGGGTTCCGGACAGCAGAGTGTTGTCGAGCGGGACGGCACGACAGCAGGGGTGGGTACCGCCGGCCGGCAGACCAGCGCCTCCGCGCCAGCCTCCGCCGGCCTGTCGGACCCCGCCCATGATGCATCCTCCCCCGTCTTCGAGCAGGTCGTATCCTTGCAGAAGGAGCTGCAATCGCTCGCAGCCGAACACAGCAAGGTACGGCATGCCGCTGTTGCCACGCTCGCATGTACACATTTCACACGACGTTTTTCCTCATTTTTCATCAAATTTTATATATAGACAGTGTAAAGCTACGGCATGCATTTCCACAATACAGCATACCTTCAATCCAAAAGAGTTCCAAAGTCATCCAAAGAGGATGGGAGGATGGGAGGGTGCGTCGCCTCAGGGGGCTGCGGTCTGCAGACCTCGAGCTGTACATGGTACGCAGGCCGTTCGTTCACCCCAATGCTTTCTCACCTACCATCCCGGCCGTCATGTAAGTCTCAACATCCTTGTTGTCGCTATCGACATCTGACGTTTGCCAATCAATCCGTAGGTTCTGCACCAGCTGGAACAGGAACGTCACACCAGCATGTCGCAGCAGGGCGAGGTCATGACACTCCGCCAGAGGCTGCGCGCACACCAAGTGGCGGGGATCACCACAAGTAGCGGTGCCAGCGCTAGCGCCGCCAGCAGCCGCTCCGGCACGACCCTGAAGCGGCCCCTGTCAGCCGCCATGTCTGGCATGGAGGAGGTGATGGAGGAGGCCGCCGCGGACCTGGAACAGCTAGAAGGCCATGTCGCCAACGTGACCCAGCGCCTGCTGGACTTGCAGTCCCAGAATCTGCGGCTGGCTCACCAGGTGTCGGCGGCGCTGCACGCCAAAACGACGGCGGAGGCGGAGGCAAATGAGGCATTGCAGCGGCTCAAGGTGCGGTGCGCATTGCGCTTTTCATAACGCGGCGGCATGATGGGATGGCAGGATAGACGGGACTATTATGGACAGGACTTCCTTCCACCTTGCTGGGAAAGTCACGCGCGAGAGCGCCAGTGGTCCGGCGACGCTGCCTCTTAACGACGCCTTTCCGACAGCAAACGGCGCCCACCCTTCGTGCGTGCTCTGCCGGCAGGGCTGGACAGCGTCGTCGGCCGCAGCAGCCAGGGGCTTGGCTAGGGGCGCTGGTATTACTACTTTACCGATTGCAGATCTTGCCTTGTCTGGAAGTGATTTTTTTTTCCACTTGTCTGGTCTCTTTCTGCCACGTGCACATCGCTGGCTCGTGCGCTCTACCGCACAGGCGCTACGGGAGGAAGCCGAGGCAGCGCAACGCGCCGCGGGTACCATCCAGCTAAGCTCCGTGCGCCTGAATGCCGAGCTGGCCGCAACCCAGGTGGAGCTTCGGCACGCGCAGGAGAGGCTCGCGGAGCAGCAGGAGCAGCTGCGGCAGCGCCGCCAGCTGGTTCAGGAACAGGACGAGCGTGTGCAGGAGGTGCAGCGCCGCGCCTTGCAGGAGGAGCATGCCCGCGAAGTTGCGGAGCAGACGCGTCGAGCTGCCGAGCACGCTCTGCAGCAGCTGCAGGTGAGAGGCGGAGTGGCGGCGTCTTGTTGCATTGCGCTGCGTTGCCTTGCAGCAGGATTTCATACAACTGCCTGGGGAAAAGGGGCAGCTGGTGAAGCTATACCACCCTGTAACAACATACATACGTACACCTGTACGTGATCCACTTAACAACGGCGGCGCCCTGGCTTCTCTATCGTGCAGGCTCGGCTGGAAGAGGTTCTGCAGAGGACGCAGCAGGTGAGGGGTTGGGATACGACATCGGGTGGGAGGCTTGTACGGGTAATGTACGGACACAGCTGGACGTTGGGATACGGTTGCAGTGACACGTACGGGTCATGGACTCCTGGTCCCTGAACACCTCAATCTCACGCTCCAGTCCATGGGGGCTGTTTACCCTGTTTACCCTCTCCTCCAACCTTGGTTAGGCTGAACGCGAGGGCTCATCTGTTCGGACGGCGGCGAGGGACCTCGCCTCCGAGATGGATAAGGCCCGCGGGGACCGTGATAAGGCTTTGGAGGAGCTGGCGGGGCTTCAGCTGAAACTGGTGGAGTGTCGTGCCGAGTTGTCCTCCTTGGCTGACGCAGTGGCAGCTGCAAGGGAAGACCGCGCGCGGGACGCCGAGGTAAGGGTATGCTTGTACGTGACGCACGTGAGCGTTTTGCCTTGGCCGCTTGGTCTTCCTTGCCCGATAGGGCTACGCTGGCTTGCGACGGTGACGTGAAAGCCAAATGAGGGTAAGGCGCGGTCTCGTTTACGAGGTTACCACGTGTCCCTCTGCCGCCCGGACACCTCGCAGGCAGCGGCGGCTACTGCCAGGCGCCGAGAGGAAATGGAGGCGCAGCTGCGGGTGAGCTTGGATAAGCGAATGAAGAAACGGCTGGTAGTTTGCCAGGATTGCGAAGTCACCCAGACACCGATGGTTGCCGGACAGTACCCTGCCGTAAATACTTTCCTTAATCCTTCCCTGTAACGGCCAGGAGCCGTAATAAACGGTGCTTTGCTGGAAGGAAGGACGCCCCGACTGTGGTTTCTTTCAGTTTTAGTAAAACGAGCCTTAAATTTTTTTTCTTGGGATCTATGTCTGGATTCGACAGGATCTGCGGAGGGCTGTGGAACTGAGCAAGGAGCAAGCCGATGCTGTGGAGCGCCAGGCCGCTGCAGCTAAGGACGACCTCGATGCCGCGCAGGCGCAGGTTCTGGCCTGCACCGAGCAGAAGGAGAAATTGGAGCGCGAGCTCGAGGTACCTATGTGATTCAGAAATTATTGAGGTTGACAGATATGGTTGCTTTTGTGATGCTACGCCCTTGCCCTAGCGTGCCTTGAGCTCTGCCGCAGATACCGTTTCCACGTGTTTAGGTTATTTTGCCTCTCTGCTGGCACAGGTGTGCTTGAAGGAGTTGGAGCGTGCCCGGCAGCAGGTGCAGATGGGAGAAGCGGAATCTCGCGATGTGGAGGAACAGCTTTCAAAGCTACGGCAGGAGCAGCAGGTGCGGTTTGACAAAATTAGATCTTTTGTAGGCGGCACGGCTTCGGCACGGCTTCGGGTTATCTCGGCACGGCTTCGGGTTATCTCGGCACGGCTTCGGGTTATCTCGGCACGGCTTCGGGTTATCTCGGCACGGCTTCGGCACGGCTTCGGCACGGCTTCGGCACGGCACGGCACGGCTTCGGCACGGCACGGCACGGCTTCGGGTTATCTTGAAAAATATCCAATCTCTCTCCAACTCCTCGATATCGCCTTCTCCTTTGTCGCTCCTCACGAACGTGCAGCAGGAGGTTCACACGGCTCCGTATTGCCTTCCGTCCTTCCGTGGAAGTGATTTTGAAGTTCCTTTTTTGTTTCCTTGATGCGCCTGGGATCACAGGAGCTGGAAAGCGTTGTTGAGCGGAAAGGGCAACAGGCTGCTGCTGCAGAACGCCGGGCCGCCGCTACTGAACATGACCTCCAGGCGACTCGGGAACAAATGCAGGTGGCTCAACAGCAGCTCGCGGACGCTGCGGTCCAGGTTGCGGCTCTGGCAAGTGCCGCTACTGGCGCTGCGTCGTTCGGCGGCGCCGGTTTTGCAGCAGCTCCCGTGGACACGAGCAACCCGGCTGCTGCTGCGGCTGCTGTCGCTGTCGCTAACCCAGTCCTTGGCCTGGGCCCGTTCGCAGCAGCGACGGCGCAGCTCAATAGTGCCTTGCATAGCGGGTCTATCGCGGGGCAATCCCACCTTGCGACAATCCTACAGCTCCAGGCTGAGTTAGAGGCCCTGCAGGTAGTGTGACGAGTGCATGCGTGAGTGGGAATGCAGCGTGTTGGAAAAGTCTGCGGAAAGCCTGCCTGCCTGCCTGTCTACCCTACTGCCTGTCTTTGGTTCTATAGAACTTAGAGGCCTCGCAAGTCGGCAAGTGTGTGGGGTATATCTCGGCTGCTACCGTATATAACTCTGTAATGCGACACCGCTGCTTGGGGCGCAGGTCGCCCTGGTTCAGGCGCAATCACGGCAGCGTCTGGGCGAGCAGCGAGCAGCTGACGCAGAGCAGCTGTGCACCGAGCTCCAGGCGCGGCTCAATGCCATGCGCGTGCAGCAGACATTCCGCCCGGATACCGATGCGCAGTCCTCGTCCTCGGGAGCGAGTCAGATCTGGAGGATCAAGGTGCGCGGCCGGCCGGAAACAGTAATATGCGCTTTCATTTTTTCCGATGCGCTGAGCCTAGGCCTTTAAGTAAAACGCAATGTCTTGGCGCATCGCATACTCGTACAGCTCAGCCGTAGGTCAAGAAAATTGCGTCATGCATGGCAACCTCAAGAATTCTCACCCGTGCTGTGCTGCTGAAGATAGGTTCTCTCTGTTGTGCAACCCGCACACATGCTTCGCTGGAGGCATGTCGTGTCCGTGAGAAGACCGCCATACCTCAAGCAGTAGCAGTTGCTTGCCTTGGATGCAGATTGATGAGCTACACCAGGAGGTGGAGTCTTCGCAGCACCTGCTGGGCCGCTACAAAGCGCGCCTGGCAGCGGCGCAGGAGGAGTGCAGCAGCTTGGAGGAGACCTTGCAGCGGGAAAGGGCTGTGTCTGGCCGTATGAGGCAGCAGGTTGAGGCGCTTCAGGATGAGCTTCAGGCCACGAACATGAAGCTACGCTCAGCCGAAGCCGCGTTGGCTAGCCAACGCCAGCAACTGCTGCAGCAGCAGCAGCAACTGCAGCAACAAGAGGCTGATCAGTTCTCACGTGTTCAGCGTAATACAAGCCCGGGTGGCAGTCATCACGGAAGTCCGCAAGCAGGAAACCTGCATAGATCACCGCCTCGCCCCACCAGCGGAAGTGCAACAGGAGCGTCAACAGGCGCGTTGGCGTCGAGCCCAGTCGAACTGGCAAGGCAGCAGCTACGCATGATCCAGGCGCAGGTGGGCGACTGGGCACGGAGTGGAAGACGTGCTTCCTCAGCTAGCACGTTTCCACTCATCCTGCCTTCCACCGACTGAGAAGCCGCCCATTAGTTTGCAACGTTCATCCTAATCACAACAGGCCTGCGACGCAGGCGTGTCGCAAAAGACCACGCGCCTGCATGCTAGTCCATGCTTAGCTTGCATCACGCCTATCTTGGTACTGTTATCGCCGCTTAAGGATATAACAGTTGTCATGTTGAATTGTTATCATCGTGCGTTAGCTGGCGGTGCTGCCTTGGATGCTGCCTTGCGCAATGACTGTTTCTCCTTCCCCCCGCTCGCAGATAGTACAGCATGAGAAGGTCAACAAAGATCTTCTGGAGGGCCACACAAGTCTGCAGCGTGTCGGCGAGGAGATGCAGTCGAAGCTTGAGGAGGCAGCTAGCCAGCTCATCACCTTGCGGGCTCAGTTTGAGAAGGGTACGAAATGACGCTCGGCCCCCGCGTTGCCCGGGGATGCAGCCCGGGGATGTCGATGTCGCCAAGAAGAAGCGCGGATCACAGATCATGCCATGCGGAGAGGCGCATACCTGACCCCTCTGTCCTGGCTTCCTGCATAGCCAGCTGCCCCTAAGGTGTTCTAGAAGCACACTCCGCCACGGTCCACACAGCAAAGCACCAGCCCAGTCAGGAAAGTCTCGTGCCAATTTAAAAATTCACCCTTCATCCCCGAAAGGGGAACGAAAGGGGAACTAAATAGGGGAACAAACTGTCCCCTTTGTTCCCATTTAGGGGATAGGGAACAAGTTCGCCTCTCATTTGATAGAGCGACTGGATAGAGCGCCTCTGCAACCCAGACGTCCCATCATCTTGGCTAGATCGTTTATCGTTTTTATTATAGAAATGAAGTGTGATGTTCCCCCGTTGCGCAGGCAAACGCAAGGTGGAGTCGCTTCAGGTGCAGAAGGTCGAGCTGCAAGAGCACATCGCGGCGCTGACGTTACAGGAGCAGCAGGCGCGCAACCGCCTGGGCGAGGTGCAGCAGCAAACCATCGCCCATCACAGCAATGCATCCGCGCTGCAGCAAGCCGTCACACGCACTGAGGAGGAGCTCCGGGATGTGCGCGCACAGCTGGCAGACGCGCAGCGCGCCCTCTCGATTGCGCTGACGCAGCGCGATGGCGCCCTTGCGCAGGCCGCCGCCGAGGCGGCGCGGCGGAAGAGGTCAGGGCGGGGCGACGGCGTCGTTAGCACGCCACGAGAGCGGGAGCTGGGCTTGGATGCGGAGGATTCAGCAGAGGCCGAGGTGCTCGGCCTCAAACAGCAGCTGCAGGCGGTCAGGCAGGCACAGGAGGCGACCGGGGCGAGCTTGGCTGAGGAGCGCCGCCAGCTGCAGCAGTGCAAGGCGGAGCTGGCGGCGGCGTTGACGGTCCGCGCGTCATATGAAGCGGCGACGGCCCGGCTGCAGCAGGACTTGGAGAAGCTTCAGGTAGTGGGAAAAGCTTGCGCGGGGAAGATGCCGCGTATCTAGCGGACCGTTGCTTCACACTTTGTGTGGCATCTCCTCGCATAACATGACGGCAAGGGTTGAGGATTTCCATGGCTTTATTACCTCAGGCCCATTTAAACATAACAACGCACATTTTAGAAGGATGCGCCTTGCCTCGAATAGCCTCTGCTAAGAGCAGCTTGTTATTATTCGCCCAGTTGGTGTATACCACCTCGGGTAGTCGCTCCGGTGGCCTGGTGGTAGAGGAGCTACCGACTAAATGTCGTGCCTGGCATGTCCTGCTGCGTTTTGCAAGATGACACGTCTGCTGGCTGTACCCGTGATGATCCCATCCTGGCCATCCTGTGTTGTTTTTTTGAAGAACTATGACGACCATGGTAATGCCCTGGGGGATGCATCTCGCCGCAGGCGCAAGTCTCGCTACTGCAGGCGTCGTCCAAGGCCGACGACAGATCTCCAGTACGGCCCGATTCGGTTATTTCGGATCATGCAGCAGGCCCCGGTTCCTTGGCCACAGCTACGTCCCCCTCCTCGTCACGGCAACGGAGTGCGCTAGGCGCACTCGATGCTGGACCCACATCCGCAAATGCCTCCCCCGTGGCAGAGGCAACGCTTTCCGCCAGGTTGGCTGACTCGCCGGGAACCATAAGCGGTATTACAGCGGATGTGGTGGCAGCAGCACGGCGGGAGCTGCATGGCCTGGAGTTAAGGATCGCGGTTGCCAGCGCTGACGAGGCGCGTCTGACGGCCGCATGTGCGGAGGCCAGGCGGCACCAGGCGGCCGCAGAGCAAGAGCTGGCCAGCGTTAGGCAGCAGGTTAGATACCGCTGGGCTGGCGCGTGGATCCGCAGGCATGGCAAGGTCTAGCTAGTCTTGGAGCTGTGAGTCTTTGTAACTTTGAGACGGTTTGATTGCATGGTCGCAGGTTGCGGATGCAGAGCAACACCTGGCGACGCTGCAAGGGGAGATAGAGCAGAATGCCGCCGCACGGGTTGCTGCGGACGCGGCCGCTGAGCTTGGGGATCTCCGTCATGCGGTGGGTCGAACCTTGTCAGGCTCACGACGGTCACACCGCACTGGTCCAACAGCGGTAGTGGGCTTCTAGGGTTGCTGTGTATCTGTATGGCAGCCAGTGTGGAGTGAGTTGCTGTGTATCTGTACGGCAGCCAGTGTGGAGTGAGTTGCTGTGCATCTGTACGGCAGCCAGCCTGGAGGTTCATGCCATCGTGTCGGGGGAACCCCCTGTATCTTTGGCATTCATCCAAAAGCGCGGCGTGTTTTTCTTATGTATGTTAGAACACGAACAGTGCAGCGAGTGCAGCCGCTGCTCGGCCACTTGCCCATCCCTGCACCGCGGGTGCAGGAGACATTTGTGCCCAACCGGCTTTGGCGGTTCTGGGCTTTTGCAAAACGTTTACACACACACACACACACACACACATGGGGTACACGTCCCGCGCTCGTCTTAACGAACGGTAACTCCACACGGGCGTATCCGGCATGTATGCAGGTTCGGTCCCTGCAGCAGCGTTTGCATGCCGCCGAGACAGCCGAAGCGGATGCAAGGCATCAGGCGCAGATGGCCAGTATTCGGCTGGTGCACATGGACGAGCATCTCAGGGTGAGCCAGGAGCAGGTGGGTTTTGTTGCTGGGCCCCGCCAGCTTTAGGCTGAGTGCATGTGAGACGTGCCGGTTTTGAATTCTGGGTCAGTATATGATGTCATCTAGGCTGTGTGGGCGTGCCGGGTTGGCGCCTGGCCGGGACCGGGCTGCTCGCAGTGCACGGCCGTACATGGTCATCCAACCTTTGTCGTCTTCCTGGACCTCGTTGCTTCCAAACAACAGTCTTTACTTCAAATTCGTTTGGCTCTCCAGGGGTCCATCGCGGTTACCAGACTCGTTCATGTCACCCCTCAACCCTCCCGCTCCCGCTCCTCGTGCTGCGTAAATCCGTCCGCCCGCACGCCTCCTTCGCCCTCCTGCGCTCTGCCTTCACGCGCGGCGCTGCAGGCTGCGCAGCAAGTGCAGGCGCAAGCCGTCCGGCTTGACGATGCCCTGGCGGCTTGCGAGCAGGAGCGTCAACACGCCAATGAGCTGCAAGAGCGCGTTGATCGTTTAAATCAGCAGTTAGAGGAGCACGGCATCGTTCAGTTGGCGCAGGCGCAGGCGCACGCGGCTGCGCTGGATGCCCAAGCGCATGCACACGTTGCGCAGATGGCACCTTTGGAAGCAGCGCTTGAGGAGGCCAAGGCACGCAGCGCCGCCGCGTCGGAGGCGCTTGAAGCGTCCAGAGCGGAGATCAGCACACTGCAGGCGGAGGTGCAAAGGCTGACGGCCAAACTGACGGATGAGGAAGGCGCGAAGCAACATCTGTGCCTCGAGATCGCACGATCGGGGCAGAGCCTGGCGGAGGGACGCGCGGAGGCGGAGCGGCTGCACGGGCAGATTGCACAGCTGACGGAGCAGCTGGCGGAGGCAAACCGGGTGCGCGTGGTCATGGTTTCGGAGGCGGCGCGAAGCGCACAGGCGCTGGCGGCCGCTGAGGCGAGAAGGCGGACCTGCAGGCAGAAGCACAGGACCTGGCGGGCCGGCTCAGGATCGTGGAGGACGCCTACACACAACTGCGCGTCGCGTCACAGGGCTCAGAGGTGCAGCTGGAGGCGGCGAAGGAGCAGTACAGGCGCGCGCAGGAGCGGGCTGAGCAGCTGGAGGTGCGGCTATCGGAGGCAGAAGCAGCAGCAGCAGCAGCAGCAGCTGCTGCTGCTGCTGCTGCTGCTGCCGAATCGCCAGAACGCAGCGGCCACACGACGCCACGCAAGTTGCGAGCACCGCAGGAGGATTCCCTGGAGCAGGTGCGGTGTGGATAGATTTTCCCGGCCAATGGATCGCCCTGCATTTCCGCTTTCCTTGTCCTCGCGATCGCGCATTGATTCCCGGTCAGCTCGGTCGAGGCGTGAGTTCCCCTGGAGTTCTTCATCCCCTACATCCTCTTCCCCTAAAGGCCGTCTTTTGCCGGTGCAGGAGATCAGCCTGGTGTGCAGATCGCCGGACCCTTCTACCGCCGCCACCGCCACGGGCACCAGCTCTCCGCCATCCCCCGAGCAGCTGAGCATCCATCACGCGGCCATGGCGCAGCTGCTGGCCGACTGCAAGGCGCTCCGAGAGCAGCGTGATACCGCGATTTCGGAGCTGCAGCAGGCGGCACTCGCGCTGACGGCCGCCGACGCGCGAGCGAGCGAGCTAGGTGCAATAAATGACCACCTCAAAGTATGTGGGGTTGGTACACGTGTCAGGGACGGCGGAGGGCATAGCAAGGTGGGAAAATGTTTCTTGCATGGTTTACCCTCCCCCCGCCGCCAAGCACCGGGGATCCATGGCGTGTTGGCGTAACTGCGACGGGTGCCTTGCTGCAAGTGGAACAACGCAGGCTTAGCGACCGAATACTTGCGTATAATATTCCCGTGTGCTGCTTGACCTTTGGCTACAGGAGGAAGTGGCTCGCTTGCAAACGTTGGTAGTTGCTGCTACAGCCACGGTTGAGCACCTACAACTTCAGCGACAGCAGCAACAGCAGCAGCAGCAACTACAGCAGCAGGCGGCGACATATCGGGGTGCACAGCAGTGCCAGGCAACGCAGACGGATCACGCCCACGCGAGAGACGCTGATCCGGGCAGCGCGGCAGCACGGGGGAGTCCGGGAGTGGACTGTGTGGCCCCTGTATCTGCACCCCCCATGGAGGCAGCAGCTTACACCGTCCTCCTCCGGGCGCTGAGCGACCACGCCACCCTGGAGCGTCAGGTCTCGGAGCTGCAGGTCAATATGGAAAGCATCATGCTGACGCGCATGCGAGTTTTAAAATTCGCACGATTGCGAGGTGGCCTTCCGTATAACGTGCTTAGAAAAACTCCTCTCATGGCCTTTCCATTTCATGGCCATTTCAACCCAAACACGTCGCCGCGACGCCGCGTCTAGCACCCTTTTTTCCATCGTGCGCGTTCGTATGCCAGCACGTATTTTTGCGTGTCAGCAAATTGTTGCTCTTGCCGAATGTTTTGCATGACGTAGTGGAGTGCACGTCCTTACTCCTTCGAGCGTGGGAAGTTGAACTGGTCCCGTGAAACGGGGTTAGGCTTGCTTCTGAATGGGGATGCGGATTTGTGTGCCTTCCTGCGGACGGATTGCAGGCAGAGCTGCAGACAGCTGCGTCGGCCAAATCTGAGCTAGAAGACGAGGTCATGTCTCTACAAACGGAGCTCAAGCGCTTGCAGCAGCAGCCATCCGGTGCAGCGGCGGATGCTGGCACCCGCCTCGGCGACACAGCGGACGCAGCGGCGAAAGCAGCAGCCCATGCAACAGCAGACATTGCGCACCTGCGTCGCCAAGTCGCGGAGCTCACCTCCTCCCTGCAGCGGTCGCAGCAGGACGCAGCTACCGCTGACGAGCGCGCCATGCGGGCTCAGGACCGGGAGGCGCAGCTCGCATGCGAGCTTGCGGATGCGCGTGACGCGGAGACGCGGATGCGCCAGGTGCTACACGCCGCCTGGGAAGAACAAGCAGGTGCAGCGGACAAGCTGGAGATTTTGCGAGACAGATTGCAGGTCGAGCGGAAGCGCCGAGCGGAGGCGGAGGCCAAGCGGTCCGGAATGCTGGTGGTGGCTCCGCCTGCTGAGTCATTGACTGGCTCTGGTTCCGGAGCAGCAGCAAACGATGCCACTATACGGCGGGAACCGCCGCCGTCGCCGCCGCGGCCGTTGCCGTCGCCGTCGCGGGCAGCACGCTCAGTCCGTCCGGGCAGCTGGGACGGCAGACCCGTAGCTGCAGGAAATAGCGGCAACTCATCCCCTAGCGGCTCCCAACGCGGGACCGCATGTTCGGCGCCTGCTTCACTGATTTTGACCGGTAGCTCGGACGGCACCCCCTCGGCACCAGCGCCAGCGCTGGGTGTGCAGGTGCCGCTGCCTGTACCCCTCTCTGCGCGGGTCGTTGAGGTGGAGTTGGAGTTTGACCGGATGCGACAGCAGCTGGCGGAAGTGGAGGCCTCTGCGCACGCGTGGCTGCAGGCCCAACTAGAAACCCAGTTGCGACAGCACAGCCAGAAGCTGCGGGAGCTGCGGACCGAGGAGATGCGACGACTGCAGGACGTCCGCGAAGAATATACACGGCTGGAGCAGCACTTGCAAGTAAGAGTCGGCCATGGTGGGATGTGGCTGGGCAGAGCAGGGTTGCCTTGCCGTGTTTGGCTTCCCCTTCCCGGTAGGCATGGCCTTGCTACGGGGGGCATCACATCACTTACCGATCCTGCAACGACACACTCTTGCCTATCGACCCATTTGAGTCGGCGGATTTTGTCTTTCTGTCCCCCTCTCCTCGGACGCCTTTCGGTCAGTTCTACGTTTGTTACCCTCTTGCCCTGGCAGCAGCTTCAATCGTGTGTGGTTCGTCTGTCCCCCTCTCCTCTCCTCTCTCTCTCCCCTTCTTACACGAACACAAACACACGTTCGGACCCCATGTGTCAAGCAGAAGGAGCTGCAGCGCGCGCGGACAGCTGCGACACAGGCGGCGTCAGAGCTGCGGGACTGCAAGGAGGCGCTGCGGGAGGCCGAGCGGCAGATCGCCGAAGCCGTCCAGGAGGCGCTCAAGTCCGCGCAGCAGGCCGCGACCTACCAGGCCCAAGTGCTTGCGCTGCAACAGGAGGGCTTGTACTCTGCAGACGTCAGCGGAGGAGGAGGAGGCAGCGGGGGCGGGGGCGGCAGCGGCGGCGGCAGCGGCAGCGGCAGCGGGGCCGGCGGCGGCAGCGGGGGCGGTGCCAGCGGTCTGGCTAGGTTCAGCGGCCGGAGCAACAACAGCACTGGCAGCGGCAGCACTCACCATCTGCGGGCGGGCGGTGTGTCAGTGCCGCAGCGCACGCAGTCGGAGGGAACAGGTGCTCGGCTGCAGGCTCAAGCACAGGCAGTACCGGCCGAGCCGGTTCTGGCGCTACTGGCCGCTCCGCCTGTTGCAGCGGAGGCAGCAGCGCCGCCGCCGCCACACGACGAAGCACCATCCGCCGGCGCTGCCGCTTTTGCAGCTGAGCGGAAGGTGATGGAATCGGAGCTTCAAGAGCTGCGCCGTCAGGTCGCCTCCCTTGAGCGGCAGCGAGCAGCGCACCAGGAGGAGTTGCAGCACGCGCAGGCGCGGCTGGCGGCTGTCGAGGCGCGGCACGCCGCGGCGGTCCAGCAGGTCGAAGCGCTTGCCGAGGAGCTGCGGACGCGCGAGCGCACGGAAGCGGACGAGCTCAAGGCCCGTGTGGCGCAGCAAGCGGAAGCGGATGCCAGACTGCTCTGCGAGCTACGCTGCCAGCTGCGGGACACCCAGGAGAGGATGGAGCGCTCCAGGGAGGAGCTGGGGCAAGCACGTGCGGAGCTGGAGCAGGCCAAGGCTGAGCTGCAGAGGAAGCGGAGCCCCGTGCAGCGGCGGCAGTCTGGATCTGGGTCCGGACGGCCGCCGGCGGCGGCGCCGCCGCCGCCAGGCAACGACGGCGGCGGGACCAGCGGCGGCGGCAGCGGCGACATGCTTGACAGAGAGGTGACGGCGCAGCTGGGATCGGATGGAAATGGTGGTAGTGCGCGCAGTGTGCAGCAGACCAGCGCGGATGAGGTAGAGGCCGCGGTCCGTCGTGTGCTGGCGTTGCTGGTGGGTGTTCGGCGCAGGGCCGCGGATCTTGACGACGCCGCCACCCGCGGTAGCGGCCGCGGCGGCAGTCTAAGCGCGGATGAGGGCGAGGGCGATGTGGAGGGGACCAGGCGGGGCCTACAGAACGGCCGCGGTCGCATGCATCGCCGACGGCCCCGGCGGCGATTGCAGGAGGGGCAGACACGGTTTTTTGTACAGTCACGATCATCACGATCACAGTCAGCGTCGCGGCGGTACGACGAGTACGGCTACGATGACGGGGACGAGTACGACTATGACGATGACGTTGCGAGCTTTGAGGACGGCGCTGCCAATGACATTAGTTTGATGGAAGGCCTTGACTTAGCGACTCGGCTCCGCGATGACCTTTTAGGGCTGCTCCGGCGCCATGCACGAGGCACTACTGCCACCGGGATGACCACGCTTCCCGGTGCCGCTGGGCTGGCGCTGGGGACCGGTGGCGGCGCCGCAAGACGTTACTTCGCCTCGACGGAGACGGCCACAGTGGCCTGCCAAACGGATCCCGCGCCAGAGTACGGCGCGTTGGTGCCCATGGTCCGCGTCAGCGCCGCCGCCAGCCACCTATCGGAGCTGCAGCAGCAGCAGTCGGGGCTGCTGTCGCGGGTGGCGGCGCTGCGGTGCCAGGCAGCAGAGGCGGAGGCGCTTGCGTCAGCACGCACAGCACGCGTAGCGGAGCTACGGGCGCGGGAGCATCAGCTGTCGACGCTGTGCGAGTCGCTGCAACGCCAGGCGGAGGACGCGCTATGGGAAATGGAGGTGCTACTATGGGACCTTCGCTTTAGGGTTTTACCCTACTTTAGTCTAAGACGCGTGCGTGCGGGTTTTCCTTTGCTTTACATCTCGCCGCAGGTTCATGGGTAGACAGCCGACGCGGCCCACCAGGATACTCACATATCAGCTGCCACCCTGCCAGCCACCCTGTCAACCTCTCAAGGCCGCACTACCGGTCGCCTAACCGAAACCCAACTACCCCGCCTTCATGACCACCCAATCTCACTCGCCCTAAACCTATAACATCGTATAAAAAACACCACCTTACCTCCTCCCCCCCCTTAGGAAAGCTACGAGCGCTACAAGACGCTGGTCACCGACACCCGCAGCGCTCTGGAGAGCGATTGCCAGCAGCTGAAGGGCATCCGCGCGGACCTGCTCATGGACGTGCAGCAGGCCCAGTCGCTGCTGCGCGACAGCCTGGTTGCGCTGCGCTTGGGGCGCGTGTCGTTGCAGGCGCACCGGGCAGTGGATGCTGCTCTGAAGAACCTGACGGAGGCAGCGACGAAGGACCCCAGCGGCGTCGGATCGCAGGTGGGTCCAAAGAAGTGTGGGTCCAGGGGTGGCGGCTCTTCCGGAGCGATCCCTGGGTGGGGGTCTTCCCAACGCCCCAACTCAGCTTTGCGTTGTGTTACGTCTTACGTGGGTACCTGTAGTAACACCCCATTAATACATACATACATACATGCATGCATGCATGCATACATACATACATACATACATACATACATACATACATACATACACACATACATACATACATACATACATACATACATACATACATACATACAGTGGGGTGCGGTGGTGTCTTAGAAAGCAGAGCGACCAAACCCAGTGCGAGATTTGAAATTGCAAATGCAAATGCAACTACCCAACCACCCAACTACCAAACCACCCAACCACCCAACCACCTCAGGTACTTCAACACGTCAAGGTGGTCTTCAACTGCATGGCGGATCTCTGCGGCCGAGCCGAGGCCCTGGCGGGGGCCGTCAGCCCGCTAGTCACAGAGCTCGGCATAGCCCTCGCCGCCAGGGCCACCGCCGCAGCCGAAACCGACACCAGCGACCCACGGGTCGCCCAACAAGGAGAGCTCATTACAACAGCCCCCTGGCGCGACGGCCCCCGACCGCCAGTGAGCCACAGTGGAGCCTTCAGGTCGGGACTGGGCAACCTTCCTGGCGAAGGGCCCGGCGACGAGGGCGCCAGGGGCTACCAGTCCTGGTCTTCTGCTGGCAGGGCCGGCGGCACCTGTGCAAATCCCTCATCGTCGAGGTTTGCTGCCGTGGGGGCAAGCCGGGGGGAGGCCATGGAGCCGGCACCTTCGTTCCGAGGCCGGAACGGAATGGAGCAGCCCGCGCAGCCATTGCAGCAGCAGCAGCAGCAGCAGCAGCAGCAACAACAGCCCGACCCCTCAGAGGTTCAGCGTGCTGTTAAGTGGGCGTACATGCAGCTGCACACCCGCGCACGCAAGTTCAGCAAGGCGCTCAAGGCCATGGAGGCGGGGGAGCAGCTGCCGGGTGAGGGGCCATCAAGCTGGAAGCCGGGGATATGGGTGTTTTTATTCGCGGGGAATCACGGGGGGGTGCAAGAAGTAAACGCCGCGTAGCGGCAGCATACAACACGCAGATCGTACATCATTCCGTTGTTTCATTTCGTATGCCGCGATATGGGGTTTGTCGGTCCAGAAAAGGTGACCGATTGACGGCCGGCTCCGCAGTCAGGATGTTAGTGGTCTGTTTGGCGGCGGGCTGGACCTGGCCCTGGGCAAGGTCCTGAGGCGTGCGGCGTGGCGTGTGTGTAAGTGGAAGTTCTTTCCTGGGGGTGTCGCGGGAAAACGAAGTGTGCGTGTTGCCACCCAAACCACACGGACCAAACTCGCGCGCTCTCTTGTCCGTCCGTTTTTCCCGCCTGTATGACTCTGCCATGTCCCCCCCTTCCCTCCACTTGGCGGCGCAGTGGAGCTCCTTCAGGAGGGCTTCCAGCGGCTGTGGAACAGTGCCGAGGAGCAGCTGAGCGGTCTCATGCGCATGGCAAGCGGATGCAACGTCGCGGCCACAGCCATAGCCACGACGGCAGCGCCGCCTCCTCCTCCGGCTCCGCCTCCGCTTCAGCCACTCAGTCCTCGCGCCGCCACCGCCGCCGCCGCCGCCGCCGCCGCTGCTGCCGCCTTGTCGTCGTCGTCGTCGCCGTACCGCCCTGGCCACTCAGCGATTTCCATCGCGGCCGGTGGCGCCTGGCACCACGGTCCGGCTCAGGGCGGCAGGGACGCAGAGAGGAACGGTGCTGCGGCGGCGGTGCACATGGTGCCGCCGCCGCCGCCGAACAACCTATATGCGCCGCCAGCGAACCAGCAAAGCGCGTCATCACTGGCGGCTGGCGGAGGGCGAGTTCCATCATCCGGGCTGAGTGGCAGGGCGCCGCTCGCAGCCGTCGAAAACGTGTTGGATGACGCTGGATGTGGCCACCAGCACGTGCATGTGCATGTGCATGGCAGGGCGAAGCGCAGTGGCGCCGGAGTTGCTGCGGCTGCTGCTGCTGCTGCCAACCGGCGGGGCCCGCCCGCTAAGGCCGCCCAGAGCCTGGCTGCGTCCCTGGATGCTGCGCACTCGGGAGAAGTGCAACCGACCGCTTCCGGAGAAGCGCCTGGACATGTACGGCAGCAACAGCACCTGTCGCAACAGGCGCCGCAGCCGCAGCCGCAGCGGAGGCAATTGCCTTCGTCCGTCGGCTCGCAGCCCACTTCTGTACGACTGCTTCAATCGCGGCGATCAGAACTCCCGCAACAGCCGCAACAGCCGCAACAGCGCGCGAATCAGGCGGAGTTTAGACGTGAGGTGACGTTCGCTGCACCGCCGCAACAGCAACCACCATCACGGAGTGGGAGGGGGGCGGCGCTGGGGCCCGGCCGCGATGAGTCACTGCCGCAGCGCCGTACCATCGAACACCAGCTGCAGCAGGTGCTGAGTCTTGCCAGGGAGATGCAAAAGCACAGCTAACATGACCTGGTGGGTTTTAGAACCAAGTGGACATTAGGGGTCCCAAAGCCAAGTGAAACACTGCCGGTGTGTGAATCCCAAGCGTAAGTAGGTGAAGGGAGGTGTCCAGGAAGGGCCCTGTAGTGTCTGTAGGGCCCTGCACAGGTGTCACAGGACCCACCTTGGCGCAGGCGTGGACGACGGAGGACTGCTTGCTCTCTGGGGTGGTGCGATGGGTACAAGAGAAAAAGGTTTTTTTGAAGGCCATCCGGTGGGGCTATAAGGATGCAGAAGAGGTATAGCTTGAAGTGAGGGAGCGGAAAAACAAGTCAAGGCCAAGTCAAGGCTGACTGCACTGCATGACGAGGTAGAACTCTTGACCGACCGCACTTATGAGTCATAAGTTATGACCGCACTTGACCGCCACGTCGACCATACGACTGTGGTAAAGCGCTGCTCCGGCGGTGGCTTTTTTTTCCGGCGGTGGCGCCGCTGCTCTACGTGCATGCATGCATGCACGCTTGCATGCATGCATGCGCTCCAACGGCATCATGGGCAACGCTACAAGCGCTGTCAGTTGGTGATCGCTATCGTCTGATCAGGCAACTGGCAGCCAGCCTGATATGGACACATCTTTTTATTATATGCGTCTTCTGTCCAGCATGACGATTACTTTCGGGGCGCCAGCGCGTCACACCCTGGAATCGGAATGCAGAGGAGAGGCCAGCGCCCCAATCTGCTAACGCTGGACGGAAAACTTCTGATTTTGCGATTCCATGCCATACGCGGCCACTGCCGTCTGACACTCGCCCGCTCGCTCTTGTACAACACAGCTTGACTGCCGCTTCGGGTGTTGTATCTGATTTTTGGTGAGCAATAGCGAGCAGCCGTGACTTTGAGTGCATAGTATTGGAAGATAAGGTGATTGGTGGAGCTTACACCCAACATACGTATGGTGTGTGTCCATGGCCTCACGTAGTGGAAACCGCATCGCGGTCGGGGCCGGGAGGTTTGCATAGTTTAGTAGCCGCATGGGAATGAAGAATGAGGAGTCCAAAACACGGAACCGGAAACGGAGTCGTGCTTGCCGTTGCTTTGCTACGCCGGCGTTCGTCGTCTTCGTGGGAGGTTCAGCGGACGTGGCAAGGGCGCGGCGGTGAGAGCAAGGGAGAGCAAGGGAGAGTAAGGGGTCAAATCAAGCTCACAACGCAATCTTTCGAAAGGTGCCGGTCTGCAGCCGCCACTGCTCTGGACCTCCCGGTGCGAATTCGCTTCTCCGTTCTCCGTCTTTTCATACGGATGCGCGCTCGTCTGGCTTAGACGTGTGCCTGCTTTACAGGAAATTGCATGGACAGGACCAAAGGGTTTGTATGATGCTCTCTGCTCATGCGTAATGGAGGCAGCTGAAGGTGGTCTCGCTCCTGCTCGGTGGTGGTACGTTTAGTACCTCCTCTGTAGTGCGATGTTGTTCTTTCTTTGCATGCACGAGGCATGCTGCATGGCGCATGCTACTGCTCAGCTCCTGTATCACCGTAAGAAAACCCGGGTTCGCCGGTGGTTCATAAGGCCCTCATGTGCGGCCCTCATGTGCAGCAGCCAAGACCTCGAGCTCCCTTTGGCGGGCTGCCGGGCTATCTGGTCCTGTGCTGTGGTCTGGGTTGCCTGGACTTCCCCTGCGGCTGACCTCCCGTGCCCACCGGCGGGTTACGTCTCAGGATTATCATACAGCGCCATGTGCCGTGGTGCCGTGTCTCCATGGCCGGTTGTGTGCGTTTCGTTTTGATGCGGTCTACTAGCTTTGGCCCGTACAGTGTGAGTTGTGGTTGCGGTCGCACACGATACTCACGGTCCTATCGAACACCTGGTAGCGGTAGGTTCAATTAAATTCATTTCAGGAGTGCCGCACGTTATCCACGCACATATCTAAGGCTGCACACCGAATCCTGAGCTACTCTTCACAGCATCTCTTATTGAGACCGATAGCGAGCCAGGGGACGAAGCCCTCCTGAAATATAGCCCGCGAAATTGCTTCGACGGCCCCATCCTGTCCTTATAACGGCACGGCACATTTGACACACCGGGCTTCTTGTCATCCGTTACAAAGGCTTTTGGATACACAGCTAGCCTTTCACTACAACACAGTCGTCATCGACGTGTTCCCGGATGGTGTCCATCAGCGCTTCGACATCGAGCTAGCATGCCGAATTGCGCCTGACCTTCGTGTCGATGCCACACCCTCTATCGTTTCATCACCCCAGACTTTCCCCAGGTGGTCGAGAACCCGAATGACCTGAGCGCCCCAACCGTCGCACTGCATGTCCGTTTTCCAGTGCCCATATCATTTCCTTGCGTGTGAACGAACTACAATAGACGTTGCTTGTATCCTTCACCAGGCTATTCCAGACACGGAAGACGGATTCGGCCCAGTGCAGCTGCAACGACATCTGCCCAAGCTCCCTAAGCAAGAGCTGGAGGGGAGGCATGGAGGCCCCTTGAGAGCTGTGAATGGGGAGGGTTGTCTAGCTGCCTGCTGCCCAAAGGATGCATGCACAGCAGCTGCGGCTGGGAAAAGCGCTAATCCAGCAGTTTTTTCAACGATTTGAAGTGAAAACATGGGTTTCCCCCTTCACTAGTGATCAAAGATTCGAGTCAGTTCATGCAAAAAGCATGATAAGCATCCTTTTGGACTACATTAACCAAGGATACTCGTTATGGGCGGTGCCTCAAAGATGTGCTGTACTTTTGAGAGCTGTGAATGGGCAGCTAGGGTGTCTAGCTGCCCGCTGCCTAAGGGATGCTGCACAGCAAAGGCAGGTGCTGGGAGAGATTCTCGACGAGAATCTCCAAGCACATTGTAAAGGCCTCGTGAAGACGATCAGGAAGAAAGTGATTGAAGAGGTGACTCCGATGCTAGAGCGCAAATCAGCAGATAGAACCCTGGCCAGCTTCTGGTCAGAACGCCATCGGCGGTACCCAAGAAGATATCAACACACCTAAAGCAGGAAGTGAAGAGATGTTTAGTCCAGGGACAGCAGGACGCCCATTGCGCATTGGGATTACATGCGGATTTAGCATGTGTACGGATCTAACCGCAATGTAGCATGTTGCACTCAAACACGGAACATTGATTCCAATACAGCGCGAAGCGAATGCGTCATCATTTTTATCAGAAAACGCATGCTTAGGTAGTAGATGCCTTGACATGCGCTGTGCGATAATACCAACTTGTCATTTGCATCTACCTATACAAGCGTTATAAGTTCGCCATCGCGAAAACATTGTAGCTGTTCACAAGCGTACATAGACACATTGAAACAGGTATGTCGCGAGCTTTCGGATCACAACCGTTTAGCATCCTCCGACAGCCTCGCAAGTTTAGCTCAGCATCGCATACGCCAGCTCCATTCCAAAAATCCCTGACATATAGAAATCTGTCAACTAAAAGCTGTTTCGAGAATATGAAAGGCTGGCAATCCCAAGCAGCAGCGGCCGCAAGCGGTGCGACACCGCCCCCTGCTTCTACCAGCTTTCTTCAACTGGAGCCCTACAGCCCGCCGACTTGGGCATCGCACATTCCACTGGTGAGGGACGCAACCTTCATCGACGTCCGTATACAGTCTACGTTCTTTTTGCATTGTGAGCGCGTCTCCGGCCTGCCTGGCCGAGCAGATTGGCCTCAAGTCCTTTCCTTTGGAATGCATGAGGGCTTCGTGTCTATGGGGGGTTGGCAAATATATTTTCAAAATGTAAACTCTTTCCTTCTACACGTTCCTTTGCGGTCATGCATCATGTGAAGGTGCCGACCCACCGTTTTCGGTTGGGCATCCTGCCCACGCCCATCCACGAATGGCGGCTGCCTGGCCTACCGGAGGGCGTCCGTGTCCTAATTAAGCGCGACGACCTGAGCGGGATGCAGATGAGCGGCAATAAGGTGGTGGGGGGTTGCGTGGGATCATGCACGACGTGCTACAACCAAGGAGCTAGATAACTGTCTTTCTCCCATCCTTCTGTCCATGCCCATCTCACAATTTTCATTTGCTGAAATTGGAAACCATCTAAGAGCCGTAGCCCTGACTTGCATCACAATCCTGATCCACTTCCAAAAAAGTCCAAAACCCTAATTCCCGGCCCTGTCCAAAACTCTGATGATCTGGTAACTCGGTAAGGCGAATACATAGCGAAGCAGCGTTTACAAAGCGACGATGGAATAAATGCGGCGAGAAGAATAATCTTTAAATCGGTGAAAGTTACAGTTACGATAAAGGAAGGTACCGATAAACAAGGTAGCTCACGCGCTCAGCAGCTCCATGTCCTTAGGTGCTGCGGCCGGTAGGTCTTGGAAGGTGCACAAAAGGTGTCGAGATTACAACAAGGCACAAGGTCTTACTGATGCTGTGACGTCATCACCTTCATCACCACATTGGTGCTGCGTCACACGATCTGGATGTAACGCATGTAATGCACGCAGGTCCGCAAATTGGAGTTTTTGATGGCGGAAGCGGTCCAGGGGGGTTACGACTGCGTGGTTACGATTGGGGGAATCCAGTCAAACCATGCCCGTGCTACCGCCGTGGCGGCCAGGTAACCGACAGACGGACATACGGCCGTAGCAACTACACGGACAGATACATGTAAATAAAAACACACTTCACACACGTTTACATATGTGTATCTGGCTTTTGTGCAGATATCTAGGTTTGGACTGCCATCTCATTTTGCGCACAAGCCGTCAGTTAGTGGACTCAGATCCCGGTCTTGTTGGGAACCTGCTGGTGGAGAGGCTGGCGGGAGCGCAGCTCCACCTGGTGGGCACCTGTGTGGCTGGCTGTGTGGCTGGCTGTGTGGCTGACTGCGCATCTGGGTGCTAGCTGTATGGCTTGATTGGTATGATCTAAAGTCCAGAATCGGATTCCAACTGTGGACAGGTAACAAAGGAGGAGTACGCTACTCTAGGAAGCGGTGCCCTCCTGGAGCAGCTGCGATCGGATTTGAAATCCACCGGCAGGAAGCCGTACATCATACCCGTTGGCGGATCTAACTCCCTTGGTGTCTGGGGCTACCTGGAGGTTGGTGGTTTCGGTTGGGTGGTTTCGGTTAGGAAACTTCCGTTAGTCGCTTGCGATTGGACCGCCATCACCCATCTCATATCAACCTCATCACACGTCATCACACGTGTGTGGCACACCAACTCTTAAACAGCCCGAAAACGTATCTATGATGATCGTAACTTAGCTTACGTCCAGGTCCTGTTTGGATTACTTGACGGAATATTCAACCGTTGCGTCGGAGGGGTAAATTTTAGAGGCCGGAGACCAGAGCCCGAGGGCCAACCTGTCACGGGGAGCCCCCGTCCACCAGCACAACGTATTGCTCTGTACGTGTACAAGGGGGCCCAGCCCAGCCGTGCATGATGACCTTCGTGCGGGAGTGCCATCATACCTTTTATCAAATAAGCGCCCACTGCACGTGAAACCCACCATCAACATGTTGTTGTTCGGTGTTTATTCCTTCCTCCCCTCTGTTTTTATTCATATGGACCTCGACTCAACCCGACCCGACTCGATCCCACGACCTGCAAGGCCGTGAATGAGATCTTGCAGCAGAGCAGCCAGCAGCTGAAGTACCTGCTGCAGCTGGGCGGAGACGACCCAGCTGCTCCCATGATTACGGACATTGCGATGGTGGGTGCAATGGCAGGCAAAACTACTGCTGCCCTTACAGCCGCAGCGACTAAGCACAGTGGGGAGTGGGGAGTGGCTGTAGAGCTGTGGGAATAGTGCTGCTCCGTTTCCCCTTAGGACTGCTCCTAAGCCCCATTGGCCGCCTGCAGCAACTGTGTGGCACACAGTATATGGCACATACAGTACGGCACATTCCGTCAAATATAAAGCTATAGTGCAAGAGACGCATTCCCAGCAAGTCGAGAGTCCTTTTCAGCGACCAGCTACTCCGCTACCTGTTCGGCTGATGACGGTCTGCCCCACCTCTAAACAGCCATTGGCAATGCTGCCGGTGCGCCTCAGCCAGCTGATATGGTAATCGATGATGTGGTGGTGCGAAGTACTCTCCTCATTAGATACCCCAAGGCCCCCCCGGGAGGCCCGGAGGGAAGGGGCCTTACAAACGTCTTCATCACCCGTGTGTGTGTTGGGAGCCAGACGTGGATGAGGGCGGGAACGAAGGATAAACGAAGTGAAGGCCTGCGATGGTTACTCCCCCACTCACGCCGCGACCCAGGGCGATGCAGACCGACCAGGGAATCCGACCGACCTGCTCACATGTACACGCCTACATCAACATATCATTGCTGCCCTCGCGGTTTGTGTCACGTCTGCATGGACAGGGGCCGCCCTTTAATTGGCCAGTCGGTCGGTCGATCGGTGTTAATTAGGCCGGTTTAATGATGCCTAATGAAGCTGGCCTTCCCGGTGCTGCCAGCTCATCTCCCGCTGCCTCGCTGGCCTGTCCTCGATTTGGAAATGCGGGAGTGCGATTACTTAACCTTAATCGTGAAATTCACGGCCAGCACCGGGGAGATTAGAGTTGCATGTTCAGCAACCTGTTGGATGGCTGGCTTTGCGTGTCTGTCTGTCTGTCTGTCTGTCTGTCTGTCTGTAGGCGTGTGGCAGTGGGGGGACGACCGCGGGCTTAGCGCTGGGCTCTGCGTTAAGGTAGGGGTTGGGTGGGGAGGACTGCCGGGGTGCGGTTTAGTGGGGCATTGGACATTGGCAGCAGCAGGAGGGATCCGAGGTGGGCTGCCTGCCCCAGGGGTGTGTGTGTCTCCCTCCTTTTTGCGTTTCTAGTTGATCTGTCACCTCATTGAATGTGAAGCTGATGCTCATGTGGGCAACGTGCCCGGTGCCTGTTACATGCATACATACATACATGCATACATACATACATGCATACATGCATACATGCACAGTCCACTGGGCGGCCGAGTACTTGCCTTTGGCGTTTGCGACACACCCGAGTACTTTTACGACTACATTGACGGTCTTCTGGGGGGCCTGGGGGCTGCCCCCGGTGGGGAGCTGCTGGGGGGCCGGAGAGCTCGAGACCTGCTGTACGTGATACAGGCCCGGGGTGCCGGGTACGCCATCAGCACGGAGGCTGAGCTGCGGACCGTGCAGGTGGGCCCCGCCACGGGGGCTGCTGGGGCGGGGGGGGGGCGGGGGTTAACGGTTGTGGTTGTCGTTGGGGTGGTTAGCCTGGGGTGGTTAATCGATCAGGATGACGGTGGTGATGGAAAGGAAGACCGCACATTCTTTAGAAGACCAATATGGGCCCGCTAGGGGATATATCTCCTAGGATCACATGCCGTACAGCCGTACCATAATTCCTGTGGTATGACGCATGCACCGCCGCAGGAGGTCGCGGCGGCGACTGGTGTCGTACTGGATCCGGTGTACAGCGGCAAGGCCGTCCACGCGCTGCTGGCGGACATCCGCGCCAGAGCGGAGGAATGGCGCGGCCGTACGGTACTTTTCGTACACACGGGCGGGCTGCTGGTATGTATGTACGTACGTATGTATGGATGTCTGTTTATGTACATATGTGCATTTCTGTATGCATCCAGCGATTGCTGGGGTCCCCTGCACTCAGCAGAAGCCTTAGGGTTTTCTCCATGCAGGATACAGCACAGTCGAGGGCGCTGCAGCGCTCTAGGAAGAAGACGGCTGTAGTAGTAGGGCTTGGCCTCGATATGGGCGCCCCTGTCCTTTTTCCTGTCCTTTTTCCTGTCCAGTCCTGTCCTGTCCCAAAATGGTAACATGTACGGGTCAGATCCGATGTTGCCGCAAGCTTTAATTAAGCAACTGGCCCTTCAGAATTAGTCGTTAGGCGCCAAGGGGTCGAAAGGGCAAATACATCCTCACGGCTGGGACTGGTCTTTGGTCTTTTCCCTTTTCTCACCAACTCTTCCGTACTTGCAAAGCAAACCTCTTGGTCAAGAGGTTCCGACCTCCTTCCCTCCAGGATTTTAGGGTTTTTTTCTTTATGCGCTGATGCACACCTTTGACCTCCTCGGGGTGCGACACGAGAGGGTTGTCTCCATTCACCACCGCCCGCCCGCCCGCCCGCCGGGTTACCCCCCGGCCCCCCCCACGTTCATGCAAAATTCCCACTACCGTCACACCACCGTCAACAGGGCATGTACGACAAACTGGACCAACTGGAACCCCTGGTTCAAGCACATGGGGCCCCGGCCGTCCGCCTGCAAGTACGGCAGCCAAACGCACAACCTTAGAAAACTTTTAATGTTTTTGTACAAACCCTGCCGTACCCAGTCGTACAGACCTGCTACAGTCCAGATGTCGGGGGGTCTAGAGCGAGGCGGATGGTACGACGACGATGGTACTAGTTGGGCCGACAACGGCGAGGTTGACTGGACGGACGGACGGACGGACGGACGGACAAGAGTTAGGTCGTCGCGGCCACATCGAAAAGTCCATCGCAGCACGGAAAGAAGAGGAACGGAAAGGAAAGAGAACCCAGTGCGGGAATGGAGTGCCCTTGTAGGAAATGCATGTGATGTGACATGCTGGCAGACGGCGCGAGGAGGAGGGCACGAAATGGACACGTTATGCTACACGTTATGTCGTTGCTGCTGCACTCCGTCCCCCTGTGTGTGTGAGCTGGTGGTGTCACGTCACGTCGTCGTCACGTTGATCTGACCGCCATTTAGAGATGGAGTGTGTGCAATGCACATGTAGCTTTGGGCGTGCGTGCGCACCATCATCATCATCATCAGCAGCAGCAGCAATAGCAGCAATAGCAGCAGTAGCAGCAGTAGCACCAGCACCAGCAGCGGCACCAGCAGCGGCAACTATTTCCGATGAGTCATAGTCTCGGAGTTTTCGATGAGGGTTCAATTTGCTCTGCATTAGCCAACAGAGAGAAAAGACCTCTAGCACATCCGTAACATCAAAAGCCCTCCGATGATTCCAGGTTCAACTCCTTCCGGCAGCAGCAGCACTGGCGCCTATCTTCCGCCAGTGCCGTATCACTGCGATGATGTGCGGGGCGGCCTAATGGCATCCCACAGCCCCCCCGGATTAAGATCACGTTAATATTAAATACAAAAGAAAATATTCGCCAGAAAAGGAAAATCCTCTCACATTGCTGTTACCCAATTTTGCCGAGAAACTGTCGCCCCAGGGTTGGCCGTTTCTTCCCTGGAAGTTCCTGCGGCGTTAGGTTTCCATTGTACGGTAGGGTTACGGCACTCCAGTCTATTGGTACGTTTCGAAAGCCTCCCAAACCGCACTTCGGCACGGCAAGCCGCAATGGTCGCAGAGAGATGATCGCGCAGTTGCATGTTCAATTCGCATGTCGAAGTCAACTGCATGTCCTTAAGTTTGGGATCACGACATCGTATGGACCCAAATATAGCGCGAGAAACGTTGACCTCGGTCCACGGAGGCAGCCAAACATGTTTGTGCTCATATGAATTTTGTCAGCTACAGGCGAAATGCCATACAATATAAAATGTTAGCGGCTTTCAATATTGCGCTTTAGTGGTGCGAGATATTGCGTTTGTTCGTTACGAACGCAGCCTCACGGCCGCACGCGCTTCGCGCTGCGGCCCCCGCCAAAAAAGTTCCAAGCTACAAACTCAGCAGCACCACCTTACACATCTTTCGAATAACTTCTGCTCGTCTTGTCGTGGAGGCTGCAGCAACACGAGCACGCATACAACCTACACGGCGGGCGGGCTTACTGGCGATCTGGTTGAGGCGCGAAACGTTGAACGGCGGCGGCGGGGTGTCAGGCTCGGTTGACTGTTGCACAGCAAAACGCACCGGCACGCTGTGACTAACCTGTTCTGCCGGTGGTGGCCCGAGGGCCACGTTAGCGGGGACGAGGGGAGCGGTGGCGGAGTGGGTCGGCGCGACGGTGCTGACCATCGCGACGCGGGTGGGGGCTGTTTGAGCGGGAAGGAAAGGTGCGTCCGCGGTCGTGGTCCTGACGTTGGCGATTGGAGTAGTCGGTGCGGGCCGGGGAGCGGGAGGGGGAGCGGGAGGGAGAGCGGCTTGCGGTACGGGAGGTGGTGGGGACGGAGTCGACGATGGGGACGGTAGGGACGGGGTTGACCATAGTGGGGATGGGCGTGAGCGTCGTAAACGGAGACTCGTGGACGTTGCTCGGGAGTTCCGCGGACCGCGAACGGGATCGGTCGCGGTTGGCGTCCGTGGGAACGAGAGCCATCGGGGAAGAAGAAGACGAAGACGAAGACGATGGCGCGATGGCGCGATGGCGCGATGGCGCGACGACGACGACGAAGACGAAGAGCTCGGCGAGGAGGATCACCTAGGCTCTGATACCAATTGAAAGGGAACCAGGCCACACCTAACAACTGGGAAGCGTAAGCCGGCTTTACTTGCCGAAAAACTTGCGTAGGCACAGATGATCGGTTTTCAAACTCAACTTAGACTTACAATGTTCATAATTTGGTCCGCTTAAATAGTCATATTAGCGCGCCATAACCTCACACGTTGTACACGCAAGTTCAAGCTCCACTAGCTCCGAAGATACGACATGGTTTCAGAAGCGCGCGTTAACGAACTGCAAAACATTACAGGAGTCGTTGAGTAGAAGCTCTGGAGGAAACTCAATTCGTCAAAGGGGTCTGACCTTCCCAATCCGGTGTCAGGTGATAATGAATGAAAGTTTATACTGATGAGAAAAAAATGGTCATGCGAAGCTTACATCAAATTTCTAAGGGCTTGGGTCTGGCACGCAACTTGCGTTCACGTAGTTCACTGTTAAGGTCTTGTGCTGCTGCGTGACGCGGCGCGGCGGCGCGAAACGACAAAACATTGGCACGTCGATGACATCACCCAGGACAGACAACAGACAGAGGCTCGCTCCTAGCTGTGAGGAACTGTTCAAGCCTCATAAATAGACCGTTTGCTTAGACAAAGTTAGCATTATGTATCGCAATGTAGACAGACGCTACCGGCGCTATGGCAAGGTGTCCGCCACGTAAAATGCATGTTGGACTGCCAGGCGTTGTCAAACAGTATCGTGTGCATAGCACCAATGATTCATCTCGCCGTTAATTCGGCACCCCTGTCACAAAGCGCAGAAACCCCATATAGCTCGCATTGGGGTGGTGGCTCCGTCAGAGACCGGCGATGGCGGCGGTACATGCATGCCAATACGCATTCGCATGTGCACCTGCAATGGCTTTCAGAAAACATCCACACAAGGATTTCTGTTGTAAATCAACTTAATGGCTGCAAGCTCATGTGGCGATTAAATCCTCATCGCCGCTCAGGTTTTTTCCGTATACTCGACTTTCTAGCTACGGACTGCTATTATACGCCTGTTAGAGTTCGTGTTTAGGTGGCTGCATAACGGTAGTAACAAAGGATTGCTACCTCTACGGAGCCGGAAACAGGGCGTTATTGTGCACGGAATCCTGTTGCCCGCCGGATTGGGGGGCGGGCCCGAAGCCGCCTTAATACCTCCATCCGTACTGCACCAAACGCATCCTAGACGCTCGCCTTGCAAACCGCATTTTTCAAACCAATTTCCAAAGCTAATATTATTGGTTTGAAAGATTTTGAGTAGATATCTGTTTCGGAGGCAGTCAAACTGTCTCGCTCGTGTGTCGCAAGCATCCAAATTTCGATTCCAGGAAAACTCAAGAAAGGAATATATTCTCGCAAACTGCAAAGTTACTGATATCAGGATTGACCATCCATTTAACCATTGGGTGGGTGATTTGCGTGCTTCCTAATTAGTCTGCTGTCTGTTCGCGTTCTTTCTGCTGCATATCCGCAGAGCCGGCAAACGAAGCCACACACATCACAGTGATTGGGTCTGAACAATTATTACAAACCTTATACCATTTATGCCTCTGCCTATGCTGAAGAGACCTATAGTTGTGTGTGCCACGCGCGCGCGCCCGGCGCGAATGCGTGCGTGTGGTGTCGATGTGACTGTGCTTGGGCAGCAATGCCATGGAGCATCACACATAACCACAAACCCTGGTGGATGCCAAACTAGCTCCCAGGGCTCCAAGCCAGGTGAAGCTGCTTCAAAGCTCTGGCGGAGGCTTGCCCCCGCTAACCTCCCTCGCAACTCGGTGCCCCCTCTCCTCCTGTGACCCCCCTCCTACGCTTGTTGCGGTATCCGCGCCGCCGCCTCCTGCCACATAGCCAAGTAAGCAGGATGAGGAGATCACTGTCATCGCCGCCACCTGCTGCTATTATGCTGCGGTTCGCTTTCGTGGCCATGGCGCTGCTTAGTGCCGCGTTTTTCATCCAGCGGTCTGCTGCTGCAGTGCAAATGATTAACCTGGCGAGTGTGGGTAAGTGGCTAGGAAGGTGGTGAATTAATGAACTGTGGGGTGTATGTATGTAGTTAGTTAGGTAGGTAGGAACGTATATGTGTGTGTGTGTGTTACACATGGTTGGGGGTGCGTGACCCCATACCTGAAAAACTACCCACACGAGCCGAAGGCCCAAGGGCAAAATCTATAGGCCTAAAAGCCACGCAGAGCAGGAAACACCGCACATCAGCCCAGACTAGCGCCCAACGGGGGTAACTAAGTTTCAATGAGCGCACATACGTTCCAACATCCTCGCCAGACGTACTGCTTCCCATTCCATGGCCTCCAACATGCTCTGTTGATGATCGAATCCCTCTTCAGCAGGAATCTCATTATAGGCTGGGCATTCCAATAACACGCGTTTTTCATCCTCGATTCGGCTATTAGTACCACAACAGCGGCAAAACCGCTGCCCCTTGGGGATATGGTACTTGCCTCTTCGCGTGTGTATTCGGAGCGAGGTGAAGCAGATCCGCTGCTGCTGTTACAGTAACACGATACTTTCATCGGTCGTGTCACGCGCGTTGGTTGGGTGTATGTATGTATGTATGTATTATGTATGTATGTATGTGTGTGTAGGCACGCATGACGGCCATTTCGTCCTCTGCTATTGTACGTCCCGTACGCACGTGTGACAGTCAGCTGCTGTCTCGTGCATGTAAGCCATGTGCATGCATCCTTTCAATCAGCAGCCAATGACCGCATCTCCCTTCCTCGCCCATCACAATTATGTGTTTGTAAGTATGTATAATGCTCTTGACCGCTTGCTGCACTTGATTGATTTGATTCCTTGGTGGCGGAACAGAGCTACCAAAGATTGACGTGGGCATAGTGGTGGCCGTACTGGGCGAGTTTCAAGCCTTGTACAATGCCCTCGATCCCGAGCCGGCGCCGTACAATGCCACCAA